AGGAATACCGTTTCTTTTTTAAGTAGTTCTTTTATAATTTTTCTTTAAAATACGTTCTTTCTAAGTCTCCGTTTATCCGCCTTAGGTCGCTAATTTTATCTTTTTTTATCTTTATATTATTATTATAAAGATACTTATAATAAAGGCTTTATTTATAGCCCCTTTTATTATAGCTATATAAGTTCTTAAGATTTTTATTTTTCTTTTAAAGGATATTATATTTTATTATACTTTTATTAAGAATTTACCGATTAAGCTAAGTTTATTTATTAATATAAAGAGTATATTTTTATAATTTATTTCCCTTTTTATATAGTCTAGCCTCCTAAATAACTTATTAACTAGGTTTATAAATCTAGGCCGATATTAAATATTAAAATTAAATATCGATAATTCATATACCTAATATAAAAAGCGCCCCTTTAAGTCCTTTACTAATATATTAATAACTTCTTTAAATACTTAATAATCTATAAAAATTATAAATCATTTTAAGGTCTTTTAGAAGTATTTTATTTAATAATCTAGGCTTTTTATAATAATTAGGAGTTCCTATTATCTTATAGCCTATTTCTATTCCGTTTTAATAAATTTTTAATTAAAATAGACTATAGGGCGCTATTTAATATTTATAAATTAAGATAGGATATTTAAGATCGCTTTTTAGGAGGCGTCTATTTTTACTTTCATATTTTTATAAAGTCTTAATAGTATAATATTATTATTAATATAAAGGCCTTTTTTAATTTATTAAATACGGCCTAGGCTTTATTAAGTTAAATAAACTTACTACTCTTTCTCCTTAATTTATTTCTTTTTAAAAGGCTTATTTTTAGCGATATTATACCTAAATATTTTAATATAAATTTATAATAAAAATTATAAAATTTTAAAAATACCTATATTTCCTAAAATATAAATAGCAGCTTTTATTTAGCGATAGACTATATTCGGTCTTTATTTATTAAGATTTTTTTTAAAGTAATTATATATTTTAAGAATTCTATTTTTTATTAGTAGAAACTATATTTATTTAATTTAGTATATAGGTAAAATACTCTTAGCTTCTTAAGGACCCTTTTTAGGTCCTCTATATATTAGTCCTTATCTTTAAAATAGATTAAAATATTATTTATATACGTTATATAATATATATCTAATAAGTCGGTAAATATTTAATAAATATATATTTAGAATAATATAGGCGTATTTATAAAGCCGAATGGTATTACTATATATTTAAAATAACCGTATTTTATCCTAAATATTATTTTTTATTTATTTATTAGTCGGATTATAATATAATAATATATATCCCTAATATCGACCTTTAAGATCTATTAAGCTCTCTTAAGTTTATTTAAAAGTTTACTAATTAAAGGGAGGGGATATCTATTTTTTAATATAATTTTATTTAGTTTTTTATAGTTTATATATAGTCTAAAGGATCTATCTTTTTTAAAGATAAATATTATTAAGGCTTTTACTTTACTTATTAAAAGGATAATCTTCCTATTTTTAAGGTTTTTAGCGATATATTTTTTGAATTTATTAAATTATTATTTATTTAAAGGATATATTGGCCTATATAGTAGGTTTTTTTTTTTTAAAAAGTTAATCTTATACTCGATTTTTTTTAAAATTAACGGATTTATTATTATATTTTTATTAAATATAGCCGTTTTATTTTATAGTTTTTAAAGGATAGTTATTATTAGACCCTTATCTTTTTTTTAAGTAATATTATTAGGGGCTCTATATCCATTATAGCCCTATAAATATAGAATATATATATATATTTTTTATTTTTAATAATCTTTTACGTAAACGTAGCCGGTTTAGTGATAAAGATTTAATTATAATATTAAGTATTTGCTTTTGTATTAGTTATTATGCCCCTTTATTTTATAGAGTATTAAAATAAGAATAGGTCTTTTATACTTTCTAAATATAGGGTTTTAATAAATAATTACTAGATTTTCCTTAAGCGTTTTTTTAAATTTAATAAAAAGAACGTTAATTAAAAGGCCGGTTTTATTTTTATTTTTTTACCGTTAAATTTATATAAAAAAAGGATTTTAGTATATATTAGTTAGAGGCCTAGTTTCTTTATTAGCCTTATACTAATCAAGTTTATTTAAGAGTAGCTATTTATATTTATAAGGACCTTTCTTTTAATAAGTCCTTAGATTATTAAGGTATACCCTTTAATAATAGCCTTAATGTATACTGATTTTTTAAAGAGCATAGGTAGTACTGGCGGTATATTTATACCTTTTTATTTTTTAAATTATTTATTTTTATTATTCGATTTTTTTAGATTATGTTTATAGATACCTTTAATATATCTAATCTTAGTTTTATTGGTATGTTATTTAATAAGTTATAATATTACCGGGCTATATATCCTATTTTTTTTATAAAAATAATATATTATAAAGCTTTTACTCGGCCGGACCTTTATTAACGGTTATTCGGTATTATAGTTTTTTAATTATAGTAACCTTTATATTATTAAATATAATTAAATTATAATAGTAGTTATAATAGGTTTTAAAGGTACTAACCTTTTTTATATTATTAATTCGGTACTAGATTATTTTTTATTTTTAGTACGGTTATAGTTATTTTAATAATTTAAATAAAATATATAGAGGTATTCTGCCTTTTAAATTATAATTTTTGTTTTATTAATAATAATTTAATATTAAATTATTTTTTCCTATAGCTTTATTAATAGATTAAAGAAGTAATTATAGGCCTTTTTTTTACTATTTTTAAAAAGTAACCTTAGGTTATTATAGATTGTATTTTATTTAATAAAGAATTATAAAGGAGTTACCTTTTTTTTTCTTTATTCCTTAAAGTACTTTTTAGTATTTTTTTTTTATATTTTAGGGTCGATATATTTTTAATAGATAAACGAAAAGAAGACCTTTTAGTTTATTTTATTATTAAGACTTATTTTATAGTTTTTTTATTATATCTAGACTAATAAAGTTACTTTAAAAAGGGCCTATTTGATTTAATATCCGTTTAAGGCCCCTAGGTAGAGGTCGTTTATTTTTTTAACCGCTTTAATGTAATTATTTATTTAGGTTATTATTATATTATTATTTAATATTTAATAATTATAATTTAGGGGTTTTTTATATTTCTATACCCTCTCTAGTCTTAACGATCTTTTAATAAAAAAATAAGCGATTTTCTTTTTTGTATTTTAGTTATTTTAAATAAAGTAATTTAATAAGATCGTTAAAAAAAGCTATTATTATAGGGCTAAACTTTTTATTTATAATATTTTATTAATTACTTCCCCTATATAATAGCGGTATATATACCTTTTTATTTTTCTTACTTCCTTTTTTTTTTTTTTTATACCTAAATTGGCGGGTTTTTAGGTTATTATTGGCTACCGTTATTATTTAATATTAGAATTTAATTTTACTTTTCATTTTAACCTAGATATAATATAGGGTATAATATACCCCCGGTAGGTAGAACTAAAGCCCTAATTATTTTAATATTAACTAAAAGTCGGCAAGCTCTATATTTATAATTAATAAAAAACGCTTATAGTTCGTCTATATTAATATTTATTATTTTAAGAAATATTAGTATACTATTAATATATTCTTCTTTATTTTAGTCGCCTACGTTATATTAGTCCTATATTTTTATTTTATATTAGTTATATTAGTTTATAAAAATTTAAGAATTATATAAGGTATAATTAAGTATTATAATTAAGAAAAATATAAAAGGTAGGTTTAATATATTATATAAATTTAAACTTAATATTTTTATAAAATTATTATAAGAATTAGTTTTTCTCTTTAGGCTAGGTTTTACCGAAGATTCGCTAAGCCTCGGCCGTAGCCTTATAGCTAGGCTATATCGAGCCTTAGCTATAGCCTTATAGCTGAGCTAGGCCTGGTTGGGTGCCCGTGTACTGGGCACCCTTATAATAAATTTCTTTTAAGTTCTAGCCCTATAACTAAATAGCTAACTTCACTTACTTTAATATATATAAAACCTCTTAATATTAGCTTATATAAATAACTAGATCTAATATAATAAACTTTTAATTATATAAATTAATAAACCTTTTAATAATACTCTTTAATTTATAATAAAATATCTTCTTATATTAAAAGTTCTTCTAAATATAATTTTAAATTTAATATTAATTTATTAAATCTTTTAGTTTATATTAGCCTAGTTATTTATAAAATCAATAGTTTTATTTAAATAGATTTTATATTATTAAAAGGCTTTATATTAGTCTTTAGGCTTATCTTTATTAATTATAATTACTTTAGTGTTAAGCTGGCCGAGGGCGTCTAGCTTTAAAGGGGCCGACTTATTAATTAATATTATTAACTAATATGTACTATAGTGTTTATTTAATAGTATTTGCTTAATAGTTTTACTTATAAATAGTAAAATAGTATTTATATTTATATATAATATAGAAGATAACAAAGATAAAGAGAATCTTTATAAGTTTTAGTATAGTAAAGTAGTAAAATATTAACTATATTAGCCCTTTCTTTAAAAGCCTTTATATTTAAAGTTAATCTTTGACGCCTATAAAGCTAGAAAAAAACCACTATATTAATCATATAGTTATATTAATTAAAAGAAATATTTACTATTAGTTTTACTATATAGTTAAGTTAGCTGAATAATATAGTTAAAGTAGCCGGTTTTATAAAATATAGCTAATAATCAATATTGAAACTTTGTTAGATCACATCTTTTACTTGTTGTTATAGCGCTTAAAGTAGACCAGTTAAGGCCCGGGCCTTCTTTATGTTCCTCCTGTTCCTCATTAGTGGGACAAGCAATCGTCACGACCCACCGGGAAGGCAAAAAACCAACGGCATGGTCCAGGCTAACCAAACTCATCGTCAACAACCCCTTGAACTGGGGGCATGATGGCTACTTCACGGGCTGTTATGCGACGGAATGTTGTCATTGGTCTCAACTCAAGGCGGATGTTGTCCTCGCATAGCAGGTTGACGTTGTCTTATGACCTGCATGAGCCTAGCAAGCGACCTGTTGGCGGGTCCTCCAACCCCATCATTTTTCTTCATGGTCTTTTCGGATCCAAGAAGAACAACAGGAGTATCAGCAAGCAAGTTAATCTCCGAGTCAAAGGCTCCGATACGGCATGCTGACCGCTATGTAGAGTTCTTGCTCGTGACTTGGGTAGACCTGTGTATGCTCTGGTAAGATCCCTATAGGCTGCATCCGCCAGCATGCCGGAAGGGTTTTCACTGAGATTCTGACCAGGACCTACGCAACCATGGCGAATCGCCTCACGCGAAGCAGCACGACTATGTGCACATGGCAGATGACGTTGCCGGATTCATGGATCAGCATAGACTGAAAATGCCCACTGTCATCGGTCACTCAATGTGAGTGGTATCCGTTCAAGGACGTTACGCTGCTGCATGCTAACTAAGACAAACCATCTCAGGGGAGCCAAAGCTGCCATGACCCTTGCATTGAAATCCCCTGAGCTCGTGCAAGATATCGTGGCGGTTGACAATGCGCCCGTCGATGCTGTCTTGGAGAGCTCATTCAGCAAGTACATTCAGGGCTTGAGAAGAATTGAAGCAGCGGACATTACGAAGCAGGCCGAAGCAGACGAAATACTGAAGGAATATGAGGATGTGAGCTTTATCCTTTTCAACCTAAGGTGGTTCACTCTATTGACCATGCTTACGATACGTCAGTCTCTTCCTATCCGGCAGTTCCTGCTGGGCAATTTATATCGGCCCGAGGCTGGAAAGCCGCAGCAAAAGTTTCGGGTGCCCCTCGACATTATTAGCCGGTCTCTGAACCACATGGGCGACTTCCCGTTCAAGGACCCAACGAAGACTCGATTCGAAAAGCCTGCTCTGTTTGTCCGGGGAACCCAAAGCAAGTACGTGCCGGATGACGTTCTACCGACGATTGGGCAATTCTTCCCCAAGTTTCGACTCGCGGATCTTGATGCCGGGCACTGGTGCATTTCAGAGAAACCAGAAGAGTTTCGTCAAGGTATGTTATCGATCTATTATGAAGACTCAAGAGACTGATCACTCCTCTGCAGCGGTGGTTGAGTTCCTAAAGGACCAGGACCAGGACTAGAGGATGTTGACTGGTGCAGTCGTTTCACTCATCCATCTGGTACTAATTATCTACGTACAAGAAGCGAGTGGGGGGATAAGGGCGTTGGCATTTATTTAGACTGGGCAGATGTTCGAGACGAGGCCACTTAGACTTGCTATAGACACAATCCCACAAGGGACTTTTCGTACGCCATGGTACTGAGGATTGCTCAGGTGGCCCTCGTAAGTCGTGGTCTCGCACGAGCTAGGAGAAATGAGCAAAGTCGTGATGGCCAGGCCGTCAGCATACCTCAGGCTGGAGTGCGAAGTTCCCAATGAAGGGGGGCAGCATCGCAGTTCCCACACCCGCGCCAGACAACTCGCAGCCAGGCTGCGTACACGTTACACAAAGCGTCTTTGAAGAATTGACCGTTTACCATTTTGAGGTACCCTAGACCCGCAGCCGCCTTATATGCTACGCCATGTGCAACGACCTAAAACAATGCCGAATTTGTTTCCCGGCCGGTAGAGCCAGAGTCCCCTTCTGCCGAAGCATCCATCATGCAGGGCCTGATTCCTTTAAACCTCCTCAAGAACGCGCTCCTTGAACTCCCGCTCAACCTTCTGTCCCTGGTCGTCGGTACCAGACTCGCCGTGGAGACCCATGAGAGCACCGAGATCGAACTTCGGCTGCTTGAGGAGCTTGACCTTGCGGATGTGGACCTGAGAAGGTATTAGTACCATTTGACCACTGACAATGTTAGGGCAAGGGTAAATGGTGCTTACGTTCTGCAGGGGGTAGATGCCCTGGGTAGACTTCTCGATCTCACGACCAATGACCTCGGGGATGAGCTTGGAGGTCAGCTGGGTGAGAGTGCAGGTGGAGGCCTCGCGCTGGATGATCTCAGTCATCTTGCGGCGGATGGCACGGATTTGCGAAGAGGCAGCGTATGTCGTCTTCTTGATCTGGTTAGGGCGGCGCTTGGTGAAAGCGATGGCGAAGAGGCGGAGGAGGTAGTCGTCGGTGGTCTTGACGGTGACGTTGGCCTCAATGAGAGTCTGCCACTTGCGGACAAGGGAGCGGAGCTTGTCGGAGGTGAAGTCGAGGCCGTGGAAGTTGGTCAGGCAGTTCTTGCCCTGGACCTCGTCGACGCGGAGCTTAACCTTGCGGAAAGCGTGGTCCTCATCCTTCTGGAGATCAGCCAGAGAGACTTCCAGAATGCGGCCCTTCAGGGCGTCGTTGGCGTTCTTGAGACCGGTGGTTCTGTTGACCAGGGTCTTGCCGACACTAGAAGACGCGCGCTGTCAGCACCCAAATGTCCAGTAGCTCAATTCCTTCTCGCACTCGGCTGTCGATGATGGCTGCATGTCGAATGCCGATAGACGTCGGGTTTGGGCTGGAAACTCACTCGCGAACGTTGAAAGGCGCGGGGGCCTATGGGGAAAAAATTATAGTCAGCATATTGCACCGACGGCTTGGAGACTTATTTCGAGTGATGTCAATCACATACCTTGATCTGGTACCAGTCCTTGCGGGTGAAGGGGTCCACGGTCTTCTTCTTGAGACCCTTCTTGCCCTTGGACAATCTCTTGTTCCTACGAGAGAAACACTGATTAGCTGCTGTTGAAAGACTACGCCTGCGAGACGACGATTGCGGCGGGCATATCGTCGTCAATTCGTCCGGAGATTGTGGTGCTCACTTTCCAACAGCCATTTTGGGCGGCTGTTAATTGTCTGGCGGATGAACGGTGGTTGTTGAAAGGTTTGGAGGGGTGGTGGTTTCGCTGGTGATAAAATTCAAGATGCGAGAATGTGTGGCTCGAAAATCTTAGCGAGTGTGCCCCGTTCGAATTATGTAATCCAGGTTTCTCCAGCTTGTGGCACTGTGCCTGCCCCTGCCCCGGCCACGCCAGGGCAAGCACCGCGTGGGTCCTGTAAGCAATCAGCACAGTAATCGACTATCTATCCCACCCTTAGCACTGTAAGTCACGTGATACACATTTTTTCACCATTCCCAGACACAGAAGACAGCCCCAAGAGTTCCACTTAGCAGACGTCAGTGTCTCTGCAAATTTCCAGTCAATGCTTCCAATTGGTTGGCTTTTCAAGATCCCTTTGGCCAGTGACATGTCATCACAATGCCCCGGCACCCCCAGTCAGAATGAAGACATTAAACCTGGAAGATACGGAGCATCACAGCCAGAAGTCAGCCCCGCCTCTCGGAGCAATGTGGGCGTGCTATGCCTCCACATCGTGGTGATCGGTGAACGGGTCTCCCGCCTTACCGATTACATTCATTCACTTCTGTCAATGGGCAAAATAGTATTATGTATTCTCACGCTTACGCTTACGCTTACACTTTGACTAAATGTGTAGACTTATGTACCCTTTATGTTCTGTTCTGTTTGACGTACGTACGGGTATCACATCTTTAACAACCTTATAAACCTAAACGTCTTCAAAAATCATACAACGCCATTGAACGAACAACGCTGATTTCGCGTCTGTCATCGGAAAGATGCACCCCTCAAGCGTTTCCGAGCCCACAACATTAACGCCCTGGCGCAAAATCATATCCGAGTCTCACTAACGTCGATGCTTTTAAATCGACCATCCCGTACCAATGTCCGGCCGCGTTCTTATTTCTTCGCGCCTTCTCTCCTCTCGTTCTCGTTGTCCTTCTTGCTCAAATACCAGCCGGGAGCAAAACAACCCTTGCCAGTGTCTTTTCTTCTTCGCGGTGTCCGGAGACGCGGAACGCTCGATTTGAGTCGAATCTCCCAGCCACAGTGGCTACCGTTGGTCGACCCGGGGAAGCCCCCCCCCCTTCTCGGTTCATTACAGCATTGTCGGTCTTATACGTCTTCTTCCTTATCATCACTGCGCCGTTCTCCATCCCAAGCATCAAAGTTGGGAAAGCTGAAATAGCCGTTCGAGTCTGGCCACACTGGTATCAGTAATTTGATCGTCGAATGCTGGCATCGTGACAGTCTACGAACAAGATTGATGTTCTCGATGGCCCTGAACTCGATTCGTTGTCGGAATGGCCATGTCTTCGGCGCTGAGCGACGTCATATGGGGAGTGGCCCCCGACGTCGGCGAGTACTCGGGAGGATGACCCGAGTATACGGCAACGCGGCTGAGGAGTTCAGTGGCCCTTTGCGACGATTGCGGGCTCGATATAGCGCCACGGCTGGCATTTGATGTTGTTGTGATGGTAGGTTCCGTCGCGCTGGCTCTCAGTAGCCTTGGCCGGCGTCGACGATCTGGCCGAGGTGATGCCTCTCTCCTCCGCACGCCGTCCGTGTCTCGAAGGTCTCGGGAAACGGTGGCCATCGCTTTGAACGAATGTCTTGGTATGAATTTGGGCGAGGTCGATAAAGGTACGATGGCAATCGACTTTGCAAAACTGCAACGGCTATGGGATGACGGGGAACCATGATTGCTATGTTGCGCCCCTCGTCAAGTGGGCGTTCTGCACGTTAACAACAAGCCATCACCTCCGGCTACTCGGCGGGAACGTCGGTTCCTTGGGGACGGGCGAGCCCGGTCGACGGTTTTCCGCTGACAGTACCAGCGTGCCATCATTGGACCACATGGCCGGTGCCTGATGGGGAACCGGCTCCCAACTATGTGTCTGGTGTTGTATGGGTCGGTGAGCATCTGTTTGGGCACTTATACGCAAAGGCCATGCATGGCCGGCGTCACGCCTGCAGCCATTGTGGGGTTACCAACCGCTTCGTTGACCACCTCCCGTGAGGTCCCGCTCAGTCGAGTCCAATCAAGGCCACCCACGGCCATGGCACTCCAAGACCGGTCAAGCACACAGGTAATACACAGTTCGAGCCGGTGTATACCGCACAGCCATACCTTAGGTAGTCACGGTAGTAGGTATATCCGTATAGGATTCTGCATCGCAACATCCCCGGTCAGCCCGCAGACGAGGTCGGGCCTATCCATACCCCAACCTGGTTTCTTCGCAGCCGAGTGGTGCGACAATCATGGGCGATGGTCGTCTTTTGACAGTGGTCGACTCTCGCGACTCCGTGTATTCATTAATATGTTGCAGTTGCTTCTCTTACCTTTGCATTGTTGCTATACAAGTCAATTTCACAGAGGCAAGCTATGTCAATGGCCTCGGGATTGGTTCCTGACTACATGCGCTGCTTTATCTGCATTCTGTCTGATACATGCGGCTTGGCTTCAGGCAATAACAGCTGGCCAATGTGCCACTACTCTTGGCTTTCCCTCCTCGCCTGGCTTTGGTCTACAGGTACAAGACTAGCGTAGGCATACCACACATAAGTTCTTCTCTGTCTTCCGTCAAGGCATTGCTATCGGCACTGGCAATGGCGCAGGTTTTCCACGGAGACACCAATAGCACCATCTTGCACAGGAGCTCTATCGGTTCTAACCCAAGCCGACGTCTTTTCATCATCTAGACCAAGTACTACAACTGCCTGTGTCATCACCCCAAGCTGGCTGTATTGCTTCTTCTCGCCCCCTCCCCGCGAGTACTAATTTTGCAGGAGCTAATGATCGAGACTGTGAAGTAAGGATATCGTCAGTCATGCATAATGCCCGCAATCCGGGGAAAGTAGGGAGACTTACTCTTCCCACATCCTACCCTGCACAGCTCTCAACTCTTCTTCTGTCATGCGCTTTCCGGCGGTGAAGTAACCTAGGACAACAGATCTCATCAGTGACTGACAGCGGGCCACGTTCCCCTTCTCGCTTGCATACCTGCAGTAATCTTTGCGTCAATCTCGACACGAGAATCTGCGGGAATCCACTCCTCGGGGAGCTCAACACGCTCGTGAATGGGAATTCTACAGTAATTGTTAGCAAGGATCTAGAATGCTGACACTCACAGGAGAATTCTCATTACCCTTGTCCTACAATGGCGTCGTGTTTCATGCTGTTGTGGTTCACGTTAGCATCATGGCATCTTGGGCGAAGAGAAGCTACTGACTTGCTCATGCTCAACATCCTGTCAATCTTGCGGATTCCGAGCCAGTGCAGGATATCGGGCATGAGGGCCTGGAAGCGCATGTCCTTCACGCCAGCAATGTTCTCTGTTCTCTTGAAATAGTCCGATGCTCGGTCTTCGCCCCGCTTACGGGCGTTGTACACGACTTTGTAATCAGTTAGCAGCCTGTCGTGAACGTGCAACCTTTATCGCCCGCGTGTACTCTTCACACGAGCTAGAAACGAATAATGGACAAGTAGGGTGGAACGTACGATACTGAATCACTGTTGTCAACACATGTTAATCACTCTTGGGACTGGCCAATGCTCACCTTGGTCACTTCGCCGAGGGCTCTGCCCTCTTTCCGGAAGTAAATGACAACACCACTGCCGCCGTTCTGGGCCTCCTTGACTGCCTCTTCGATACCGAATATGAGGTAAGGGCGGCAAGTGCAGATATCGGATCCAAAAACGTCGCTACCATTGCACTAGTAGCGGTTAATGGTGAGATCGCCGCTTGCAGTGAGACGACAAACCTCGTCGTGGATACGCAAAGCCAGTCGTACCGACTCGTCGGACATCTTGGCCGGATCGCCAAAACAGTATACTGTCAAGCCACCTACATGATGCCCATTGTTAGTTCGTCCTCTCACTCGAAGGCTGGGTGCTATTACCTATGGGAGGCAGGAACACCTTGATATCGTTGCGGGTGATCAGCTATGACAAATGATCAGCGTGCGTTTCTGTGAGGTATGAGGGGCCATCAACCTCTGGGTAGCTTCCACCAGTGTGTTCGAAGAGAGACCTTCGCAAGGCCCCCTCGTCTGGTTGAGATTAGTTGCTGATATCTTCTCGAGCAGTCGTAGTCTGACGAACCGATACCGAATCTTTCAGCTACGCCAGGAAGATACCAAACCTGATTGAAGATCGTGAGCATACTGTGTTGTTTAATCACCGCTGGAAATCTGACTTACCGGCTCGACGGCGAACTTAGTTACAGCCAGCTCTCCGAGCTCATTGAGGCAGACCTTGCCGTCGGGAACACTAGCCAAATCAGCTCCCATAACAGAACCCTCTCCTGGACGTGGCTTCACTCACAGTCTTCCGCTCTTGACACTCTCCTCCAGCTCGGGAAGCTGAAAATTGTCAGACAACGTTATGTTATTCCAGCGAGCGCAATTGTACCTTCATATGTGCCTTGGTGATGGCGATTGTTGGGCGAATATCGACTGTCACGTTTCAGTCTAAAATCTTATGTTGGAGAAAGTGCGTGCCATTTTCTCCACTCACCATTGTGCTTCTCGATAGTGTCCTTGAAGAGCCAGGGGGATAGATGGCCCCAGGGATCCATGGCGACAATCTTCTTGGGATCTCCCCATTGAGGGAAGGGGCCAATCTTAGCAGCTGGCTCCGTATTGGTGAAGTCGGGTCTAGAATCTATGAGTCCATGCGCTGGCTTTGGCGGTAATAATGGCTCACCTATGCTCGAGATTAAGTTGTTTGCTCGCAACAGCGAGAGCATAGTAGATGGAGTAAGAACCACCACTGCGAGTCCGCTGTCAGCTATTTTGTCTCGCAACGTTTATACTCTTCCCTTCAAGATGGCCGAAGGACAGCCCATGCATGGGTCACTCACTGGGCTGAAAACACATGTTAGTTGAAAACGACTCAGCAGGCAGGCAAAGATAAGTACTGACCTCCGACAGCTTGAGATTGGACAATGGTGTCAGCTGATGTTGCTCTTCAGGCGTAAGTAGGGGGGCTAGGTCTACGGACCGTTACGTCTTCCAATGGTAGTCGATGAACGAGAAACAACAACTGGGCCACGACGATGGGGGTCCGATTCGCCCCATTTCATGGTAAGAGGATTGATGCCGATCTGCTTTGGATAAGTCCTGGGATGACAGTATCAGTTAGAAACCTCCGATGATGATAGACAGTAGGTAATGCAGCATCGTAGCTGGAAACATACGTTAGGATGATGCGGGAGGTAAGACCGGAACGCTGGCTGGGCGACGAGGGCACAGCTGGGGCCTGCAAGGTCAAATCGGACGAGGAGCTCTTGGCAGAATCACCAACGACGTCGGAAGGCTCGGGGGTTCGAGATCTTTCAGGGACCTCGCCGGCGACATCAGAGTCAACAGGCAGCTGTTGGTATCGTTGGTTTAGCGAGTCGACGGCAGCCACAAGGTCAGATTGAGTCTGCTGTATGGATTTCAAGGAACTCATGACTTCGGCCAACGAGCCGTCGCCAACGGTAGGGTCGCTCATGACGATCAATTTCTAGTTGTCACACTACAACAGCAGAGCACACAGAGAGAAATCCTGTGAGGAGGCAGCCCGCGTCTTTGAAAGATGCGCCGTGTTGGAGTGAAAGAAGCCGTGAACGGACTGCTGTAATACTTCACGAGGGAAGATGGAGCAGGAGGGACGGCAGAATGGAGAGGAAGACCAGGAAGAGGGAGGAGAAAAGGATGAAGCGATGGAAGGTGTAGAAAGGAAGCTGGACGAATTGAAGTTTAATAGGAGGTGAGTAAGTAAGACAAAGCTAGAGTATAAGGAGAGATGGGGACAGCTATCTCTCGAGAGGCAGGTTATGAAATGATAAGTCGGTGACTACCGATGGCTGGTCCACCGAAAGGCCAAGGATGAGGAACGAGAAGAATGACTATATCGAAGCCAGCGGTGAGGGCTATGTAGTAAACAGCATGAGGGAAGATAGAGATGCACAAAGAAGAGACGGTCGACGCCCCGAGGGAGATCTCGTGACCCCATCGGAAGGCGCCGCGCGTGGTCATTGAGCTGGCCGGACGGGGAGGGCAAGTACCCGCTACCGTGCCCGACTCTTCTTATCCTTGGGTAGCAGGTGATGCGGCACATGGGCTTTCGAATCTCACAGACGTTCCAGTCTCATCTACCTTAGTTCGGGCTGGGGACGGGGGTTGGGGTGCTTCCTACCTGCCATTAATGATTACCTTAGAAGTGGCAAGGTACCTACTCTACCGTCGTCTGGATGTCGAAGTCTGGTCCGCGCTATGTGCAGGTTCCTTACTTATCCACGTTCCTTACTTGTCCACGCATGTGCCAACCTAATTGTCCCCGGCGTGCACCTGCGTCTGTGCCTGCACCTGCACCCACCCCCGCCAACAAGTTACAGCAGATACGCTTACATAACAAATATGATTGAGGGGCAAGTTCTGGGCATAACAACAGACTCGCGCGCATGACATGTAGTACCTTGTTGGCTGTCTATCTTAACTCATGGTCAAGTGCTAATAGGTAGGTAGACTATGAGCTCCGCGATGCCATTGATAAGCATCATTGCTTGTGGAGAATTGGAAGTCCACGATAAAGACGTGCCTTGGTTGTGGACCTATGGCGATGCGGCGGCGGCGCCCAGTTTTGTCGGGTTGCGGGGCCGTCCGCGATCTACCCAGACATCCAGACACCCAGACAAGGACTCAGTGAAGGAGGGGGAAGACAGCTTGATGCGGCCTTCCAGCGCCCAAGATAAGGCGATCGGAGGACCTTAACTTACCTACTCCTACTTTACGTCCAGCAAGCACAAAGGTGCTGAGGCAAGCAACTAGACTAGGGCGCACTGTTATAAGAATACGCTGTTGAAGGCGATGCATAAGGTTTAGAGTATTTTACCTCAAAAGACCCCTCCCTCTCACTCAACCCCTCACTCACCCAGACACATAGATCGTAGACACGAGGTGTCTTACCTGCTTGACCTGCTCACAATAACAATGGGTCGTCCAGTAGCCCATAATACCCCATGTAGAAATGAAATGCGTAAAGTATTTGCCTGGGCCTAGCATTCGCACAGGCGGCAGACAGATGGATGAGACGGGCATGAGCCGCCTCTCAATTTGTGCATCAAGTGCCGGACTCCGATGTCGTTCCTCTGGATGAGGTAGGTAGGGTAGTAGGTAGGTATAGTAAGGTACGGATACCCAAGGCTGGTAAAGCGGGGTCATGTGTGATGGTTTATCGATTGCGTGCTTACCTAAGGCACGCAAGTTCAAGGCGGTCACCCCGCTGTCCCTCTCCGAGTAGCCGTCGTCGAACAACCTACTGCGTACGGTACCTAGAATGCGTCCATGATAGTACCTTGCGGAGTACCTTACTTTTCGGAGTACACCCAGCAGCCCACTGTACGGGTACCTGCTTACCTTGGGCTGGCATGCTCTGAAGGAGATATTAGGAGCCTGGGCAGGCTGATACATAAGGTACAGACCTTTCTAACCTATTGTGGTGAGGCACCTAGGTATGGTGCTCTTTAGGTACCCGACCCAGGTGCCTTCCATAGTACCAGTATAGTCAGAGCTTTTGGGTCCACCGCTACTGGGTTTAAACCTGCTGCACCAGTGCACCATGGTCCCACGCCGCCTCTGCCAAGTACCTAAGTAGAGACCAGCCGCAAAACACATTTGGAAAGTACCTAACCTCCGCTACCTGAAAGTCGCTGTCGCGCATTCCACCGTCGTATCCGTCGCATTTGCCAAATTCTTGACTTCATTCATCACCTGTCACCGAATCATCTTCCCCAAACCACCAGTCTTACTACTTTCCCTTACTTCTGTCCAAGCCTGCGACATATCTGCGCTCACGACTGCGCTCTCGACCACGCACAACGACGAACTACGCAACCGACTATTCTCTTTTGATCTCTGTCTATCTACATTCTACGCGCCGGTCGCGCAAACCAATCAACGGTACTCCACACTATGGGGAAGCGCAAAAGTTCGAGCAAACCTCAAGGCCCGAAGAAGGTTCGTTTACTGTTGAGAAGCTCCACCGTGCCTACGCCTGTAGGCTGGTACGGTTGGCGACGCAGTCACTGACGCCGATTCGCAGAGAGAGGTTCTTCCCTCCAAGTTCACATGCCTCTTCTGCAACCACGAAGACTCCGTCGCTGTAAAGCTGGATAAGAAAGCGGGTGTTGGTTCGTTGGACTGCAGAGTGTGCGGCCAGATGTTTCAGTGCAGCATCAATTGTGAGGCTCTACTCTTGCCATTTCATTTGCTTCCCCCTTCCCAATTGCTAAACCTCAGTCAGACCTCTCGGCCGCCGTGGATGTGTATGGAGAGTGGGTGGACGCTGCAGGTAAGTCCCTTCCTTTAACATCTTAGTCGCTCTCACAAGCACCTCAAGAACATGCACCTGACACATGTCCACAGATGCTGTTGCCAAGGAAGCAGGACCCGTCGGCGGAAGCAATCACAAGACCACAAGCGCTCGGCGCGCCCCTCCGAGCCGGCCAGTAGACGATGACGACGATGACAGGAGATACGGGGGTGAGGGTATCGATATGGATGACGATGAATACTAGATGACCTTGCAACCGCTTGAACGTACATGGGGAGGTGCATTGTGAATGCAGCCCAGGGTCTGGAACACAGGCGGCCGAGGACAGCAGCGCGAGAAGAAACCCAAGCTGAATATCAATGCCATGTTACCTTGGCTTTCAGGACATACAGCCACACTTAAACGGTGTAGAACCTGTCCCCAAAATCGCCGAGGCCGGGGATGATGTAGCTATCACAGCCCATTAGTATGACATAAGCCTCTAAGCATCGCAAGGTGCCGACTTACTTCTTTTCGTCTAGGCCCTGCAGCAAAACGTTTATCAGACTGTGCGATCCGAGGTGGACTAGGGCTGGCTTGTACATACCTGGTCTACAAATGCTGTGACAACTCTCAACTTCGGGAACTTGGCGGTGAAGTTCTGGATACCCTCGGGGCTCGCAATGAGGTTCAGGAACAGAATGCGGTCCTCGGGAACACCACGCGCCTTGAGGACCTGGACTGCCATGATGGCCGAACCACCGGTGGCAAACATGGGATCTAGAAGGAGAACCCAGCGTTGGGCAATATCCTCAGGCAGCTTGTCGTAGAATAGCTTTGGCTGAGCCGTCTCCTCATCGCGTTGAATCAAAATCTTGCCAATTCTGACAGAGCGGCAGCAGTCGCGTAGACCTTGCTCCATGGCCTCGCCAGCACGCATGATGGAGACGCCGCAAATCTTGCCTTGGAACATGAGGCCAGAGTAAGTCCGGCCAATGGGTGTTGTCACGTCATGCTCAACGGTAGGCAAATGGTTCAGGCCTTCCTCCACGAGCAGCCGAATGATGCGGTTGGAGTAGAAAATGAAATCGCCACGCTCCGTGTTCTTGTCTCGGATGATGCTGCCGGAGGTCAGTAAGCCATCAAAGAGGTGTATTTCTAGTTTGTTCTCCCCGTGGACCCGGTGCCTCATAGTAGTCTACCGGGCGCCACGAGAGGCAGGGAGAATACTGGAATAATTCTGAAGCCAGAGTGAGAGGCTTACGTGAGAAGGGCAATGAGCTGAGGCGTCTGGGACAAGACAACAACGTTGTCTAGCTTGATCTCGGTCGAGACTGTGGCCGTGGGCTTTTGACTTTCTGAGCGATACAACGGGCCGACACACTGTGTAGGTCCGCTGCCGCTGGCGGACTTTGATTCTTGACTGGCCATTTCTGAGAAAAGTCGTTGCCGATAGATCAAGATTTACTCGAGAGAAAGGATGGCGATAGTATGGTTAGGAGGGACTGGATGCAAGTGAGAAATACAGAGGTACCGGTACCGGATGGGGTGGGAGGGGTTTCAATGGATTTTGTCCAAGGAAGGCTTGGCTTGGATGCTGAGGTAGAAGGAGGAGGTGAATCAAATGGGCTATGGGGGGGGGGGGGGGGTCGAAAAATCTGGAAACTAGTGAGATGGAAATAGGGCAGCGGCAAGCAAGCTTCCAATGGATCGATATAAAGCATTTTAGGACCAGGTCTTCGCTGGAAGCCAAAAGGGTTGAACGGGGTGAACAGATCGAATGTGTCACGAGACACAATGGAGCTCGCCGTCCCCCGTTGCTCGGGTCAGATAGGTTGCCTACCTATGCCCTGCGCCGAACGTAACGAAGTTGCCCTGCGAGAGAACAATTCTGTCTCGGCTTGTGGGTAGGTGATAATGGAATAGTCAGGGACCTTAGCCATAAACGTGGGAAACACTCGTTTGGCCAGTACCTTCCTTTTTTATGTATTAAGGCACATTAGGTAAGGTATCCGTACCTCACAGCACCCCAGGTCTGGAGCCGCTCAACCTGATGCGCTCACAAGCACCCCTCCAGCGATAAGGATCATGCGGGGGCCTGTCCAGTGTGAGATGTGAGGGGTTGTGTTTTCGTATGGATAAGTTACACCTACCTAGGTTGACGGGATTCAACCCCACCAACCAACCTGCCGAAAAGTAATCTTGCCTACCTGCAAGGTACCTAAGGTGTAATAACCACCTGCTGCAAGCAGCGACGGATTTTGGATGGCTCTAAGCGTTTCTACTCAATAATCGGGGTGTGCACCTATGCATAGCATTTAAATGACCAGGGAAGCAGGTATCCTTCAGTGCTCTCCAAGTGGCACCAGTACCTGCCATACCGTGCCACCTAAGGTACAAGGTAGACCTTAAGGAACCATACTTCCGGTCGGGGGTTGCTAAAAGACCCCGTCCCGCGGGAGCGACGCTAGGCGGCGCGGCAGCCACAGTACGGCAGGAAACTTGTGTCCGGGCGGAGGACAAGCAGACTCAATGCCCGTATCCGTACTTGCCTCCCTACCGCGCGACACGCCATACCTTCCTTCCCTTTCCTTTCTTCCCTCCAATACTTAACAGTATGCGGCTTTGAGGACTCCAGCGCTGGATTTTCCCGAATTGAAATAAATCATCCATCGAAATCTCTCACGTTTGGGATTCGACTTTGTGGGATGCCTTTTCTCTTGTGAATGCGCAAGGCTGTCTTGCAAAGTCTCTCGGTTTTCACTCTTCCATCCTCCGCAATGCCTATCGGCTGTTACCTTGACTAAGGCAGAGTCGCAAGCCAGCAGGACGTGCCTCACCTCAGCTACATCCCTTCCCGGCCCTCTTAGAAACAACAACGACCCCACGCTCTTCTCGACAACCGCCTGCGTCACTCCTTCCATCCAAGTAAATACTAGACTACTTGTTTCGCCCATCATCCGCTACACCGAGTCTACCATAGTTTCCAGTCATCACCACGTATCGCCAACCACCATCTTTCACCTCATTGGAAACCTGAACCGTGGCTATTATAATAAGCCTGCCTGCGTTGGCCGCGACATAACATGGCTACCAGAGACGGACCGAGCGTGCCGCGCAAAAAGTCAACAACCTACGGCAAGACATCGCGTAAACGACCCATACACGCGTTTCTCGATTTATCTAATGCTTCGCGACGCGCCGATAATGCCGCGCAACCGATCGATGCCTCCTCAACGCCTGCCGAACAGCTCTACGATCTCTACGACCCACCATCCGATGAACCTTTGCGTCTTCCACTATCTCGACACGTTGCGCCACCTGTTGACGCGACCGTAATCCAGTCGGATGGGTCGAATAAAATGAAGAAGAGGAAGGTGGCTGTAGCGCCTGTAGCCAAAGCCGATCGCAAGCTCGATATCGAAACTCCTGTCGTCGCTTCACCAGCGGGGTTGCCTTCTCATACTCGCCGAGCGAAATCGCCCTTCAAAACAAGCGCAACAAGTTCTACTGGCGTCGTCAAACAGGAATCTCTGCCCCGTAGGATCGATGGACCCAAGATACAGACACAAGCCGAACCACGTAAGATCGCCTCTCGTGCTCATTCCGAGGTTGAGGTTCCTCGCAGGACCGAGACCAACTTGCAGACACGACAAGCAGTCTCACAACCTGCGGAAGCGCTGTTGGTGGCAACATCAAGCACCGCGATTACGAGACCACAAGCGACCAAGCCGAAAACGCTGCCAAAGCCGAAGCGTATCCGTCTCATTGATCAGTTAGCGGCGCAAACAGAAGATAGCTCCGACTCCGACTCCGAAATGTCAGATTCGTCAGAGCATTCTAGGATGAGAGCGGCCGATGCTTCTCCTTCCACCCCGATAAAGCCTATTGACATGACACCGAGACCATCGATGCGGCCCAAGGTGCTCTCGAGTACTAGGAAACTAAGATCGACGTACGGAGAGCAGAGGACGCTGAAGACAGATGAGTCGGGAGGGGACAGCCTTGGCAGCCAGATGGGCGTGGACGGCACCCAGCATGACCTCAGTCCGCCTCCGACAATGTCGAAGCTTGCGTCGTTTACATTTGAAGAAGAGGAGATTGAGGAAGACGACTCTGCTAGGGGCGGTGGCATCATCGACATCCATGCGCTAAGGCAAGCCGGTGCCAATCATCGTTTTGCAGACAGTATGGCCGATTTGCTCGACAGAGTCGGCACGCCCCAGCCGCCCAGATCACAGCCAGCCCGCTCGAGGCGCAATGCCTTGTTAGAGCTGGCGAGTAAGCTACGGGACAAGACGTTTGTCCGTCAATTTCGCGACCAGGGTGCGAAGGACGCCTTGTTTCACGCTCTCGGACAAGAAGAGGACTTTGTTAGCGGCTTCGTCCTCCTGTCTGTTGTTCTGGTTCTATTCACATCGTACTCGGTCCCTCATCTCGTCCCTCAGCTACAGAGCGAAGGTATCGCGCAACTAGCTTCGATGATGTTCAGCCTGGACGAGGATATTGTCAGCGTTGCAGCGCAACGGAAATCTAACTTATCTAGGAACGCACAATCATCACTTTCTGCTCTGAAATCCACAATACAGCACCTGGATCTATGGAAGGGCTCTCCGCCCGTCGTGCTGTCGCCAAGAACGGTTGCTTTGAAAGCCATATCCGTGCTCTGCAAAGATGGTGACAGTACGGCGACACGACATATCCTGTCCAGCTTAGCAGATCAGCTATTTGGCTTCGCCGAGACAGGCTGGGAAAATTGTAGAGCTCATGGCATTGAGGGAACAGACGGCGGCCTAGCGCTTTCTCTCCTCGAAGGCTACTCAATTGCGGCAATGGAGTCTGATGCCGGCCCTCGTTGGACAAAGCGATATCTTCCCATTTTCGCAGACATTCTGACGATAGCAATGGCTCGACCTATGCAAGAATTCGGTGATTTCGAGTCGACAGTATTGAAATTGGCACTGAATACAACGAACAACAATCCCGTTGCCGCGAGCGCCTTCAGCAGGGGAGATCTTTTCCGCGAGCTAGCTGAGACCAGCGTTGCGGGATTTGAGCTCCTGGAGCAGTCTGTTCGCAAAGGGGCTTTTTCAAAAGATGTTTACGAGACACTCATGCTGCTGCTAGGCGTCATGATCAATACGTCAGAGCACTCCCCGTCAGTCCGGCAGTCTGTGGATGCGTGGCAGGGGCAGGACGGTTCAACCTTGGATAGGCTGATAGAAGTCTACCTGGAGAACCGCGATTCGGCTGGAACGGTGAGTGAACAGAGTCAAGACGAAAAGTACTCAGCACAGTCAGACTAACAAATTCGTGTAGGCCGATTCGGTCGAGAAAACCTCAGTTGCCGTAGCCCACGGTTACTTGGCGATACTATTGGGCTACTTGTCGTTGGGTAGCCAAGTACGCCGGCGACTGGAGGAAAAGAGTCACGGAAGAGGCACCAAGTACTTGCTCGATTCCATTCAGGAGTTCATGGCTTTGCATCAAAAGCTGGACACGGATGAGTTGACGACGAGCTTGCAAAACCTTGTTAACGAGCTGAGGCAGAGGCATAAGGCCTCTAGTCGGTAGCGAGCTACAGCCGCATTCATTGGAGTGAACGAAGAACAAGATGATTTATTTGGATCTAGAGATAGGCTATAGCCAAGACAGGTGGCATCCTCAGTCAAGGTGCCGCCATCGCTAGCAACATCTTTTGGGATTAGAAGGTGGCAATCCGGCCGGTTTAGGGGGTTTGACCGCCACAAGAATTGTGGTAGACTAACGCGGCGATGAAGACCGTGGATAGGCAGGCAGGCAGGCAGGCAGGTACCCGGCGGCATGGTTTGCGAGAAGCACGACGCTTCCGTTATCCGTCTTTGGGTATTCTAAAAGAACTCTCGTCACCTAACTGTTGAATTGGATGACGATCCATACTGAGGAGTCCAGCTGGACCCAGCTTATCTTACTACCAATCATTGCTCAAACATTCTAGAGCCCATCTGATTTCGATTATTGTATTGATAGGTCCCTTGTGCCGTGGGATTTTCTAGGTTGGTTGGGTTTCCTGGAGTATCACAACCTTCGCCGGGTTGGCTGTCAAGGTCTTATTCGGAATCCAGCCTGGACGTGGTGTAGGACATTGGGGACATGTCTCTTATCTAGAATGGGGGGGGGGGGGGGGGGGGGGGACGAGAGGCAACACGATTATGACAAAGCCAAGCTGTAGCAAATACGAACGTAACATATCTTCTTAAATATGTGACGATAGCGCATAGGAACGGTAGTTCTTGGTCCTGACTTGGGCACCTTGGCTACCCCCGTCATTTGGTAGCGAGGAATCGATCACGTCTACCAAGGTAGTACATAGGTATTGCCTCATAAATGTGCTAAGCCCACAGGCAGGCCAGAGCTGTTAAGTGACCTGAGCACAGGGCAATGTTCAAGTGCTAGCTTCTAGTAGCGGAAGCCCACTTCTCCTCAGAGATGTGCAAGTGCCTGCGTTGTATCCCGCTCTCTGCCGCTGGGTTCTATGCTTGCATACGCCATGCCGCCGCTCCATCCCCCCTCCATCAATCTCTCCTTCTACATCCATTACCACTGCCGCTTTCCGCTACACCTCTACGCTGCGACATCGATCCTGTGCTTTCAATTGCTCTATTCCGCGTGCTTCGACAAAAATTGTCTCTTCGCTCTCCAATTTGTCCTCTCGCCTATTGCCCCAGGCAATAACGTGCGATCAAAAAAAGGAAGGCATCCCTCCGTGCCTGCACTGCACAACAAAGACGTCTAGTCTTCTCTACAATCCTTCCTTCTTCCAGCCTCTCTACGAACTCTCTCGAAACCAGCATTAGTGCGGGCATCTCCTTCCCCAGCACAGAGCTCTAGCGACAACATACCCATTTCATTCGTTTCCTTCTCATCAGTCACACAAATGCCGGCGCCAAAGAACCGAAAGGTGGCCATTGTTGGCAGTCGTTCTGTTGGTAAGTCCTCTCCCCCATACTTTCAATTACGATACGGCCCGACTGGCCTTGTTGGCATTACAACAATGGCAACAGGTTTTGGAAAGCGGTTTTCATAGACTAACATCTTCACTTCGCAAGGCAAATCATCATTGGCAGTCCAGTTCGTAGACGGCCACTTCGTTGACAGTTATTACCCTACTATCGAGAATACCTTCAGCAAAACGATTCGCCACAAGGGACAGGAATTTGCGACAGAAATTGTCGATACTGCAGGACAGGTATGTCATCCCTAGATTGCTTCTAGCAACGACTAGACGAAACGGTGGGTTGCATTTAGGAGAAAGAGTCGGAAGCGCCACACATGTGGTCAGATATGCGAGAACCGACAAGTGCCACGACTAACAGGCAGAAAAAAAACCAGGATGAATACAGTATTTTGAACTCGAAACACTTCATCGGCATCCACGGCTACATGCTAGTCTACTCGGTGTCGTCCTTACCGTCCTTTGAGATGGTGCAAGTAATCCGCGAGAAGATTCTGAATCATTTGGTACCTATGCCCCCGTGGCGGAACAAGCGAGCAAGAGCGAAGTACTGACTGGAATCTTGAAAGGGTACCGAATCAGTCCCTATAGTCATCGTCGGTAACAAGAGCGATCTCCGTCCCGAGCAACGACAAGTCAGCCCAGAGGAAGGCAAGAGGGTAGCAGAGAAGATTCAATGCGGATGGACCGAGGCTAGCGCACGATACAACGAGAATGTCGGAAAGGCCTTTGATATCTTGATTGCTGAGATTGAAAAGGCCCAAAATCCAGGCGAGGCGGCAGAGGGGGGCAAATGCATTCTTATGTAGGAAATTAGAGAGATCACTACATAAATTACACTTATTTTCAAACCCATATCGGTCTATAAAGAGGAGTCGACTGGTGCAGGCATTCTAATACGATGACATGGTAGCTAGCAGTTGTTCGGGGCAATATTTGAGGTCATTGGGAGTGCACAAAGACATGCGATCAAGGCAGTGAAACACTACGATAGCGCAACGCTCTGAAGTATCCGTACGACAACCAAAATGATGATGGTCCCTTATTCTTAAACCACTGTCCCGGACGCTGTGGGTACAATGCGGGTGTTTGAGTTGAGTTGCAGGGGGATTGTACGGATACGGATACTTGCCAGACTAAGGTGGCACTGCGTGGAAGGATGGATGGAACCTACCTCGCCTTAGGTATTATGGCATGCTAGGTAAGTAAGGTACAGTGAGGGCTCAAAGGTCTCCATACACCCTCCCAGTGCGTCACCTTAAGCCCACTAATTCCATTGTTATAAAACCACTTATATCTTAAGCACCTAGGTAACAATATAACTCTAGAAAATTCTCAAAAATATCTAACTACATATTTTATATTAAAATAATTTCAATTTTTTTTAATAAGTTTTATAAATATATAGAAAATAAAATTAAAAACATAAGTAAAAAAAAAAAAAAAAATAAACTAAGAAAAACAGTACGAATTTGAATTGTAAAGCGTCATAGCCCACTATAAGCGGGACTTCTAAAAACATATTTTTAAAAAGATTTAATAACTCTGTAATATTAACGGAATATTACATATAACTTTTATCTAAGGTTATTTAAAAGTAAACATACATTTTTTTGAGTTTTTAACTTTAATTTAGAGTTATATTGACGTCTTTGTGTGCTGTTAAAGATTACTAGTACCGCCTTGCACTGTGTGCTGTATAGATACTTTTGAGTCTCCACTGTAGGTAGGAGTCGACAGTGCCTACTTGCTGGTCGGGCTCGCAAATGGACCTGTGGACCCTGCCTTACATCAGCTAGGAACTCAACTCATCGAGTCCCATCCAGTTTGGTCGCTTTCACTGCCCCTGACATCGAGGGGACTGCCCAATGCGACACATTACTATTAATTCCTTCCGTACCTCACATACCGCTCCGACAGCTTTTTCTGACCGTCTGGCTTGCGGGAATCTGGAAAGCAGCAAAGACAGCAACCTTCCTTCTACTTTTCTACTTTGCTTGCCTACATATTTACAAGCACCTCTAACGCGGGCCTCTCGGAGAACCATATACTGGGAATCTACCATCTTTGTGCTCTCATTTGTGCAACATCTCAAGTCAAGCGTCGAGCGCTATACAACAAAGCTTTGAATCAAACAAGCTTTGACTGGACCCTCCTTGCCTTGTTGATCAAGCGAAATTGCCTTTCACCGACCCGGCAGGCGTTCATATGTGGTGCATCGCACTGTTCATTATATTGCCGTCATCCCACTCGTCTCATTTCAACTTCATCTCATCCAGAACGCCGTCTCTGAATCCCTTGGATATTCACTTGGCTAGCCTGGCCCTCACTATCTGCCGGAGTGGGTCAGCATGGAGCAGAACATTATCTGTCCCTTTTGTGGAAAGGCTGACGGAGGAGAAATCGAGATGTTGCTGGTAAGTCTAGTTATATTCAAAAGTCTCTTCAGTCAACTGACCGCATTTCAGCACATGGAAACTTTTCACCCCGAGGAAGACAATTCTCACTCTCCTCCACCCATTACACAGTCACCGCGAGAGCAGTATGCTGAGTGTCCAATCGAGGGTTGCGGTGAATGCATTCCCTTGGCTGAAATCGACTACCATATGGACCTTCACCTCGAAGAAGACCGTCAAGTTGCTGAGAACCCAAATTCCCAAGCCGTCATACAATCTCGGCACCCCAATAATACAACTGTCGCCGCCGCCGCCGCCGCCCCTGGTGATTACCGCGAACACGCCGTCGACGGTCAGATTACGGCTGCTGAGCAATGGGGGAAACTGTTGTCACTAACAGCAAAGTCGAAAGGCAAGGAAGGAGAGAAACGACTTGGAGTACGTTGTTCTCTCCTAATTGCTTAGATCCAGAACTCCGACTGATCATTATTAGAAAGCAGAGCTGGGAAAATATGCGCATGAACAACAGATGCCAGACTGGCTCGTATCTCTTCTTCATAAAGGTGGCGAAGTCAAGAGCGATGGTGAGTGCCCTGCCTTTGCGTGATCAGGTGATACTGACACAACTAGGGGTAATTTCTGTTCTCGAGCAGCTTCTGAGCCAGAGCAAATCTACCGAATATGCCTTTTTGTGCGACCCGGCCGTCCAGCATGTATCAAAGCTCAAGAAAGAAGGTATCGTAGTCTCGGCAACTTATCCGGGAAAATTGATGCTTATTGAAACCTAGGTGGCTTCTGCGGTTATCGCAACATTCAAATGATGGTTTCTTACATTGTTGGCGCCAATGCCCCTGGCATGGAACATTTCAAGGGCTGTCTACCTACTATATTCGAGATCCAGGAGCTCATCGAGAGAGCCTGGGACCTTGGCATCAATTCCCAGGGGCGAATCGAAACCGGTGGCATCAAGGGGACACGCAAGTACATTGGTACTCCGGAGGTAAGACGGCAAGCAGTTTGCACTAGTATCAAAACTTTAACCTAACTACTTGGGCTCCTAGGCACAGGCACTCTTCGTTGGCCTTCAGATACCGTGGGTGTATAAGTTCTTGAAAGCCCACATGAGTAAAAAGCTGACGCTGAAGCAGATGCACTGCGCAGGGATTCAGAGATCATGAACCAGGAAGATCCGAGGCTAAGCTGATGATGGCTGTCGAGGAGTATTTTAAGCAGGGAGCGCATCGTCAAGGTTCAAAAGTGACCTGCACATCACTTCCGCCTATATACTTCCAGCATGCCGGTAAGTCGTTATTCTGATCACGTACAAATAAACAGTCTGCTAAGAGGGGTGTCGTGTTCAGGCCATTCATTGACAATCGTTGGCTTCGAGAAACAAAAGCATGGCCCTGCTAATCTACTTGTCTTTGACCCCGTCTTTCGCGATCCACCAGCGCTTGCCCGACTTATTGGCCAAACATTCAAGCATAAATCGGCAGACGAATCTCTCAAGCCATATCGCCGGGGCGCCAAGTACCTCCGAAGATATCGCGAGTTTGAAATCCTTAGGTAGGCCCTGGGCACAAAATTCGGCCTGGACCGGACTGATTCTAAGCCATATCGCAGACTGGATAGCAGAATTCCCGTGCCCTCAACAGCGCACGGTAGCTCTTGATGTTAGAACTGGTGGAAGAGCTGCCAAGTTGACGAGGCCCATTTATGAACGTCTCATCTATAATGATCACTCGGCTCGCTGTTGAGCGAACCAGTCTTGCAGCTTCGCGAGGGCACGACCGCGATGAGAGATCTTATTTTTTGCTGCCTTGTCCATCTCGGCATAGCTTGGTGACTCGTTAGCAAGACAAACATCGGCCAACCCTCGACAATGGACTTACGTCTGACCATCATACTCGAAAATAGCATCCCATCCTTAACGTGGTTAGCTTCGAAGTTTGCACAGGAAAGTGTCAGACTTCTGCTTACCAAAGTCAACCGGGCCTCGAGGCGGCACGATCCTGCCCTACTTATAAGGTTGGCAAACATTCAGGCACGAACAATAATGTTGATGACTTACTCTAGTTCGTCCTTGGAAGAGGAGAGGTTCGCTTCCAGGACCCGGCGAGTAGGCAAACGTGCACACGGCATCGGCAGACTTATCCTCGTATGCAACTAGTAGATTGTTTAGACCCTGGTGGCCTATGGATTCCATGAACCATTTGCTGGGTGAAAACGGTCAGTAATCAAGGATGTCTGACAGAAAGACATGTCTTCATGTCGGCCCCAACAAAACATACATGTAGGGGCCCGGGAGATCGCCGAGAGCCTTGAAGCAGAGGCAGGTGTCTTCAACCAGAACAGGTCCTTGGATCTAAGAGATGAATGAATTAATATGCCATGGATTGCACTTTGGAAGTTTCTGAGACCCGGCTACTCACAGTCTCCGCAGCCTTGCGACATTTTGCTATGGTGACTTCCTCAACTGTGCCTTGGACTTCCTCGAGGTCAACAGCATGGCTTTGTACCGTGATTGCTGGTTCCAGAATGGCTTTGACCTCTCGCAATTTGTTGGCATTGCCAGTGATGAATTTGACCGTCGGCGGCGTAGACATGACGGGCAGAGATAAATGGCGGAAGTTCTGGTCTGGGTGCTCGGATGGGAGTGCTGGTTAAAGGACAAGCTATGCGTGTGGTGTGCCACAATAGATTGGCATATAACTGCAATCAATCGTGTTATGTACGTAAGAGATTTGGCATTGACCCCATCGAACTCTTTGTCTCAATGTGGGAAAAATGTTATGGTACCCTGTTGCATTATCCACCTTACTGACGTCGGCTACCTGCATATGTCATAGTTGGATGTCGCAGGCGTAGAAAAGACTTGGGCGTGCTGGGCCCACCATCGAGGCATAGTAATGACTCCCGAACAGATCCTTGCGTGGTTAATGTAGGGGACTGAACGAAAACTTTTAGAGAGACCACATCTAAGGCCCTTTTGGGTACGAATACCTTTTGGGTACGAATATGTCCATGCACCTCGCTTTCCCAACCTGGAAATAACATCGCCAGCACTTCTCTTTACTCTGTCATCCCTCTCTATCCCGGAGAAAACTTAGTCTCACAGGGGAACCAAGCTCATAGTCCGATTCTTGTTACTTCGTCACTCCTTCTCGTCCGTCCCATCATGACGAGTGGTCGTTCTTCCATTGCTCAAGCCAAGCCTCCACCCTCGAAATGTTGGTATCCATTTCATCGGATGTATTGCTCATAAGCTCGATAACTATTTCTTCATCAAAAGCCTCCCTAGCCTCTTGAAGTAGAACCTCCATGATCTCCGAATCTAGATTCTCCTGAAGCTTGGCCTCGGGATACTTCCTGAATGGAGCAAACCCAGCCGCGTTAGCACTCATCATCCTTATTGGCGGCCTTTTCGCTGCCACTTTTTCCAAGAAGAAGAAACAAAGAGGGGGAGAAAGCAACAACAATAGTGAAACAAGAACAAGATAGGACCTCACAGCCTCACTGACCTTGCTGATAGACGGTCATAGAGTGTTGTCGAGTCCACACGCAGCACAACTACGAGGTCAATCCAACTTTTGGGGAATAAGTCGCAGGCGTGCCAGTCAATGATGTAGCCCCCCTCCTGAACGTCACCCTCAATGGCATCGAGCAACTGAACCCCGTATTCGTTAGTATAGCGAACATTCAAGCAATAGAGATACCGAGTGACAGGAAGCACAGCGGCAGACTCCAATTCCCAATAAGAGAAAATGAGTGCAACAGGGGGCAAACCTTGTCTTCGTCAACAATCCAACTCTGAAACTCGTCGTCCCAACCCTCGTGACACTCCCGATCTTTGACAACTTGGTTGACTGAGAGGTGCTTGAGGCCTGTACGCCTAGCGAGCTCTTCGCAGTGCGTCGTCTTGCCCACGCCTGGCGTACCAGTGACGATGATGTTTGGTGACGTTCTCATTTTGGGCAAGAGAAATCTGGATTGACGCTAAGATGGACCGAGCGATTCTCCAGGTAGGTGTCTCTCAGAATAGTGGCGAGTATAAGGCTGAAGATAGGTATGGCAAGAGCCGTTAAGAGCTAGAAAAGGATAGAAAGAGAATCTGGACGTGAAAAGCTTCGTTTATTGCATTGCATGTAAGTGAGTCCAGTGAGGGCCACTTTCTCAGGTAGCATGAATGCGCGCTATCCAATTACAGCGCTTTGGTAGGTAGGGTTGGTGGATGCGTCACGGTCACGTGCGGGGCGCTCACCAGTCACCCTCAACCGAGGCATCTAAGGCTTCTTCTACCTTGGATACAATCTGAAGAGGGCAGTCTATTCTCAATACGCACCAGGTGACTCTCACTTTCATTGTAGGTTCGGAGAGTTTTGGGATCCTTAATCATGCAGGTGGGGGGAAAGCACCTGAAATCGATTGTTTGGGAATACTGAAGGCAATTGCTCCCTACTTACAATGCCAAGTACAAGAAGCTGTCATCTCGGATATAGCCTCCTTCCACCTCTGCCACGTGAGTAATCTGCTACAATAACAGAAAACATGATGGGCACTACCTTTACAGGGCCCGAGCAGCCGTCTCCCACCCAAGCTTCTGAATACGAATAGGCTGGACGAGTGTGTTCGATGCACAGGTTTTTCTTTCCAACTCTCCCGTCCTTCCCACCCTGTTTCAATCACTTAATCGGCAACATCCACGGTCAAACTTAACGCCATCACAACTATTGCTTCTTTCTACATTATCCATGCAAGAACCTGACGTAATAAATCCCCAGATCTAGCTCCCTAAAGAAGGAAGCCACGGACACACCGCCGCCCATTCCTAGGCCACCGCTCACTTGATAGTCGTCATCATTCCAGTGGCCAGTCTTGGTTAGAGGCCAGCGAGCAAAACAAGGACGAAACACTCTACACGGTAGGCTCTATTGCCTACCTGTCTACTTATCGAGACAGACGAGGGCATCTTCTAGAATCGTTTGGCTGTACACGGTTATGCGGCCACATCTTCCTCATCAACCTCGGCAAGGTCGCCATTGGGCTCGAAGTCGTCCTCAGGATCGTACTCGAGCTTCTCTTGCTGAGCAATTGCTTGAGCAGACACGATCTCAGCGAGACGTTTCAAGCGTGGGGTTTGTAGCCCTAGTAATTCATTGTTAGCGAGGCCGGATCTGGTACGACTTTCGATGTAGCCCACATACATGAAGGAGTGTAGGTCTCTAGAGCGGTGATGACTCTGGGTTCGGCAATCTCATAAGGTCCACTGTCGTCCATGTCGACAGCTTGGAGCAGCAGTACATCACTCTTTTCCGTGACCCTGGAGGCAACGGCCTTCATGATCTCGCCGTTGATGGGCTGCTCATAGTCTGCGACCAAGTACTGGTTCAGGAGCTTTTGGATCTGGTTGGGCGACAGCCTGTCGAGAAACATCTTGTCAGCAACTTCCACATAACCTTGCCATGCATGAAACAGGATTCCACTCACATCCAACAGATATCCTGAATAATCTCAATATCATTCAGGGTCGCCTTCTTCAGTTGAAGGAGCTTCGTTGCTTGCTATAGAACGGATTAGCTTGGCTCGCTTAGGCTCTGTCCTGGACGATAGACACTCACCATCAAGTGCTCTAGCTGGAGAGTGCCCTCAGGCATATCATGACTTTTGCACCACTCCTCGATACGCGTGATGTTGTAGTTGATCTGAAGACCACGCTTCCAGGAGAGGAAGTTGCGTCTCATCAGGAGGTCGTTGAAGGCGGTGACGCCAACGAGACGAAGCAATTCAGTGATGGTCTGCGTAATGATGGAGTCTTCGAGGTAGTAAGCCTTCATGGCGCGGAACACGCTGTTGAGTAGGCTGAGCAGGTTGTCCATGCTATAGGCGGGAGTCGAGTTGGATTGCAAAAGTTTGCCAAGGAAACGACTGCTTTCGTTGGTGACAAAGCCCGGAAGCGACTGAGACTCAATAATGGCGGGGATGATCATTTTCTGAAGCTTCTTCTTCAAGACCTTCATCCAGGTATGGTAGATATTAAACTCCAAACTCTCCAAGTCGTGCTTGACAATCTCCAGAAGACGGTCGTACTCATAGTTGTCCGTCTTCTGCGCCTCGTACCAGTCCTCGGCAAGGAAGACGAACGACAGCATCTCATGCACGTTGGAAAGCCAGAAGGCCCCCGGGTTGATGGCTTCATCGCCGTCATGTTGCATAACTTCCTGCTGAATCGACTGCATAACATTGGCGAGGAAGCGCTCAGACTCTTTGACAAAGCCATTGTTCCACATCTCGGAGGTTACCAAGTTGATGAGATAAGAGGGGAAGAGGACCTCCTTGTCGGATGGTGGCGGATTTGTGTTCGGAGAAGGGATCTTGAGATTGCGGATGAGACCCATGGTGACCTCCTCATTAAGACCATCTTCGTCAGCCAAGAGCGTCTCGAGCTCGAGCTCGATGTTATCGACACCAGACATGAAACCTGTGCCCTGCAGATTCTGTCTGTGGGCAGTGCTGGTGATGGCCATCGAAACAGGACGGGGGTTGTAAGCAGCGCTGAAGCGATCCACAGCAGTGCTGGGTTCGGCACCGGCACTCCTCCTCTTCGGTTTCTTTGAGGACACGAGGTTGATGAGGCCAGGCACGGCCGACGGTGGCGCCTGAACAGCACCGTTGGCAAGCTCGCCATTGGCCGGGGCCATTCTTCTCGCTAGCTCTAGCTGATCTTGCAGTTCGGCGAGCTGTTGGCGCAGTGAAAGCTTCTCGCTCTCAATCTGTGCACTCTGCTGGCGAACAGTGTCTAGCTCTGTGCTTGTAGAGCGCAGAGATTCTCTCAGCTCCCGCTCTTCCTCCTGCATCCTCTTGATATTGGATGTTGATTCCTCGAAGCTCTGCTGGAGCTTCTTCATCTCGTCCTCCATTGCCTGCAGTCTAGCAACTGCGATGCTACCCTGGTTGGCCTCGGTCTGGAGCTCCTTCGTCCGAGCCTCCAAGGCATTGTGGCGGTTCTTCCAAGCCTTGATTTGACCCTCATAGTTCTCCACCTGTGATGACAAGTTCTTGTTCTGTGCCTTCATGGTGCCGAGAGATTGTGTCAGTTCGACGACCTTGTTTTCGAGCTTGTACGAGATCTGCTTCAGATCACGAGCTTCCTCTCGAGTCTTCTTGTAATCACGACGGGCGAGTCTACCACGCCACAGGCTCTGGATGAGAGTGACCTTCTTCCTGTATTGCCTCCAAGCCAAGACTTGTCGTCGAGACCGCCACACGCGCTGGATGAGCATAGCTGCGTTACCTACGCGGGTCTCCATGATTTCTTTTCGTCGAAGGTAACCTTTGGCCGCCGCTTGCGCCAGGACGACATCGTTCCTGATGCGTATGTACTCCTTTCTTTGCCGTTGACCACGCCAAACCCGCTGTATTGTTGTTGCTGCTTTGACGGTGCGGAGCTCCTGGACTTGCTTTCGGGCGTTGTATGCTCGCACTGCGGACTGAAAAGTCACGATGGCTTGGCGGGCCTCAAGGTAGCGACGGCGGTAGAATTTAGCACGGAGGTTCTTCTGGATCAAAATGGCGCAATCGTTGAGACGGTTTGTGCGCAGGTTCTCAAGGAAGGCGAGCATGCCGGCACGGAAAAAGATCTTGGTGAGGCCCAGCTGGTACTTGTCGGAACCTTTGCCAGAGCTGGTGCCGAGTGCCTTGGTAAGGATAGCGTTGGCTACTTCCCGAATATCCGACGCCCACAGGTCCGAGTTGATGAGCATGTAGTAGCGCAGAGCAAACTCCTCGTATGTCCATCGAGTAGGGTAACCAGCGCAACTTATGCGAACAGTCTCGAGAACACCGCAAGCCCGCAACTGACTGAGTACCATTGGGCCCTCAAACTTCCACGCCTCCTTCGCCTCATTAGGCTTGATGCAGCGAATGTAGTGAACGTCTGTGTTGTTGATGGTGTTCATGAGCTCAATGAGCGAAGAACGGAATATGCCTCCCAACGTCGGCTTTCTGTTGACGGCCACGCCGATCTTCCTACCAGCGGCGGGTTTCACTGAGCTCGATGAAGCGGAGGCGACGTCCTTTTCACGCACAGCAGAAGCTGCATCCAAGACATCGCGGAGGAACTTATTCGTCGAGGCACGGAGGACCGCCATATGTTCATCAGGTACGGTGTCGCGGTTCTTCTCGATGAAACCCTCAGATTCGTACGTGACATCCACAGCATAGTGGCACACGGTGAACGCAGACTTGCCGAATCTAGGCTTTTTGTAGAACTTGTGCTTGTCAGTGCCGTAGTTGTGATGCAGTTTCGTGACAAACTGCTCGTCGGAGCCCATGGGAAGACGGGACTCTTCATCCAGCAGCGACAGAATACCGAGCTTGCCCTCGATGAGATCGATGGCCGGTTGATTGTCGGAAAACTCGATGAAAGTCCAGTCAATCTTTTCCCTCAGATATTCTTCTTGCTCCAGCTTGAACACGTGTTGGTTGAATTCTTGCTGTAGCTTCTCGTTGGCGTAATTAATGCAGAACTGCTCGAAAGAGTTCTTGGCAAAGTGTTCAAAGCCATAGATATCAAGCACACCAATGAATGAGATGACGCGGTTCAAGACTTCTTCAGTTGCCAGACTGTGGTTGATGATATCGACGAGCCAGTCAAAAAGGCTGGAGTAGATGAACTTGGCGACTGAATCACGGACGACGATGGCCTGAGCCTGCGTCAAGTTTGAAGTAATCTTCTCGCCTCTCGTGACCAACTGCTTTTTGACAATCCACTTGGCGAACTCCGTTCCGTTGACACCCAGAATCGATGAAGCCAGCTCAAGCGAGGGCTCTGTCGGCGCGAGGACACTATCGTTGCGTGAGGCTCCAATCTTGATGTTGCCTAGGTGCAGCAGACCAGAAAGAAGTCTAAAAATCTCCGACTGCTGTGCATCGGTGACACCAATTGTCCTCAGAGACGCCTTTGTCGCCTCAAACTCGGCCTTATCGTCGACACCATCGATCGTTGGACAGTTGCCCTGGTTGAGGTACTCGAACTCCTCAATGGGCAACAGATGCAGATCCTGACGCTCCTTGTCTGAGGCACCAGCAACAAGTTGGTAGAAAATGTGGTAGTTGCGCTCCTTCAGGGGTTGGAAAACAAGTCTGGATCGCTCGAGGAGGTAGGTGCGAATCTTGGCGCCAATGATGTTGGTTTTATCGTCGAACATGATCTCGATGTATTTGCCGAATCGTGACGAGTTATCGTTGCGCGTCGTCTTTGCGTTTCCGAAGGCCTCCATGATGGGATTCGTAGCTAGGATCTGTTCTTCCGTTTCGCTCATAGCTTCGGCGCCCTTCTTGGATCGCGTCCCCGGGTTGTCGGGTGATTCTCTGGTTGCGAAGTATCGCATGATGTACTTGGCGCTGACCGTTTTTCCAGCACCAGACTCTCCCGACACGACGACAGTTTGGTTCTTTCCGCTTCGCACCATGTCACTGCAAACCGTTAGCAAGTACTCTGTGGCTGGTCTCATGGCGTAGCGCGAGGACAGGTCAGCCTACATGAAAGCCTCTTCTGCAATGGCAAACAAGTGCGGTGCTTGCGTCGCTCTCTGCTTGCCGGCATAGACCTGGACCATGCCTGGGACGTAGAGCGAGTCTACTCTGGCGAAAGGGTTCGCCGCAATCAGAACGATTCCACTGTATGTGTAAATTTCCTTCTGTGCATATCTAAGGCGGATGGCTTGCAAGACTAGAGGCGGGCAAAGTCAGTCATGAAAACGCCAGAGAGTGTCGAGGCAAGACATATAACGTACCTGCAGGCTCGTTGAGATGGGACAGATTCGTCAGGTCATCGCTGGCCTCAAGCATGGTTGGATTCATCAGGGGTGGGAGGGACGAATCGCCTTTCTGGAGGGCCTCGGCGGTGACCTCAACCGTCTTTTCCTATTTGGTCGTCAATACGTGTTTGCAGGCCTAGCTGAGGCACCAGAGATACCATACCTCGCCATTGTCCAGCTTGAAAACAAGCTTAACCTTTGGGCCATCTTCGGTCTTGTTGACAACCTCAGACGCGACCCAGCCCTCTGTAGCATCGGGCTGCCACGCCCGCGTTCCGACGTCGTAGTTCTCCGACATTATGACAGCTTCGAGAGTGTTCGATCGACTAGGTACCGGAGATGGCGACGATGGAGAACTAGTATTCCCGGGAAGGTTGGCGGATGGGATTCGGTAGGTCTAGGGGTGGGAGCTCGGAGCAAGTCGTGAGATTCATGGGCAAGCGAGTGGGCAAGAGTTGGTTGCAGGAGAGATTGGAAGTGGTAACTGCCAGAGGCAAATACCGTTGACCTGTCTTGTGCGTCGGACTCGCTGCTATTGCCGTCTCGATCGTGGCGGTCTTCGTCTGCTTCGCGTCGGTCGTCGAGGTAGGGGATGAGAAGATGGAGGAGCAGGAGACGAGGTGGATGGAAGGTGGCTTTGGAGATGAAGGGCAGGCCAGCCTAGATTTGGTACTCCGTACCAACCTTATGGGTACAGTTTGTATGGGGCCCTTGTAAGAGATGATTGATGAAGGACGGGAGGTAACAAGAGAGACAAGAGAATGAGAGTGCACGCTACGCAAAGTTCAATGAACGACCATCGGGATTATCTCCAAGAATTTGGCAGGTTGAGATAGATTGCACGCAGATGTAAAGGCGAAGGATGGGACGTGAAAGGGGTGAGTAGTTCGATGGCAGCTGAAGAAAGGAGGACAGCCGGTCCTGGTGCGAAGAGCAGAACTGGACAACTTTTTGAGATTCCAACAGACGTGGACGTGGACGTGGACAGGGGCACCCGACCAAAGTAAAAACGCCGGGAGAGAGAGAGCTGGGCTTGGCCAGTTGGAGGAACGAGCGCTGAGGTGATGTTTTTTGGCCGCTGCTAAGGCAGGTACCTAAGCAAGTGGTATTAGCCTACCCATAGGTAATGGAAGTAAGGTGCCTTGAGGTCGCTAAGTTACCTCATGAGCGTGTGTGGGGCCGTACCTTACCTACCTTACATAGTATGTCCACTTCACCAAATAAGGAGGTTTACTGCATTGGTACCCTGCCTTAGGTAATGTAGCCGGGTCTGATGTACCTAGTGCCCGTCTTGCATCTCAGGGCCCAAGGTAGGTAAAGTCGCCCTGAACATGTCTGGACGATGGAGGGGGACTAGACAGTGCAAGACAGAATAGAGACACTGCTGTTAGTTTGAGGCGAGGCATATCAATGAGCTAGGTACTCTTGTTTCTAAACAAGTTGCCTAGGTAAGGTAGGTAGGTATTCGTACCGATATTATCACTTCAAAGCACTGGAGAAGATCAGCCAAGCTACATACCTTATCGTACCTTATGCCGAGGGGTCGGATTGATCTCTGAAGGCGACAACATGAGCCAGTCAGCCAGACGCCGGGTACCTCAAACCAGTTTTGTTCAAGTTATTGTCTTTCAACCTCGAATTCTCTTCGAAGTACTGAGAGTTTCCTTTGACATCTGCACTGGGCGGACGGGAAGGGAATGGTCCGGCCGCCGTAGGTCAGCAGCTAAACCATCCTGTCTTGGTGGCATTCATAGTTTAAAGCATCCGGCCTGACTGATAAGTCAACCCAAATCAATCTTCAACCCCGGCCGGCTTTTCACTGCCTTTTACGACATTCGGCCCCTTCATTGGCGACAGTTCAAAAAAAAAGTTCGAAGAGCTAGAGAGAGCCCAAACTTGAAGAGACTTTCCGCGCTGAGCCCCCGACTTGGCATCATGATTGGTGCTGAGAGAAGTCTGGCGTGAGACCAGATACTAGTACAGGTGCCTAGACATTCTGAGTATGAAACCTTGGTTGTGCATGTGGGCGACTCGACGTGGCAGAGCGATGGTCGTTGGTTAAGAACGTCGTTGAGATACCAAGTGTTGCCTTAAGCATCACCTTCCGCGCCATTTAGTCATGTTTTCTTCTCTTGAACGAATATCCATTTCTTCTACTAGGTAGACAGTTCGAAACGCCACATGAGCCGCAAAGTCTGGCTGGCTGACTACCAAACAAAGACGGAAGTTGAAACAACCGTCCCTCTCGAGTCTTGAGCTTCTCCAGCTAGCGCAGGGTCGCCTCTCCTTGCACCATTTGTACCTGCTTTGGGGCCTGACAAGTATGCAGGAAACCAAAAGAAAAGCCGTGCTGAAAGCTTTCGTCCCAAGCTGCCGAGCCGGAAACCACAGACTTGTTGACCCTCAGACGCACCCGTCAGTTCACCGACGTGTCGTTGTGGTCAGTGTTTGTCTCCTTTTCCTTGCTGTCCTAGCGCCACTACCTTGTGGCATGGATCCATGTTTGCCCCTACAAGTACGAAGTACCCAGTAATACCTACCCGTCTTCTTTCCTCTCTCCTCTGATATCCCTACGTTACGCAGACCTACCTAACTACGGCCATGTATCCGTCGGCATTGTCATATGTACTCAGAGCTGCATTGATATTTAGACGATCCCGATTTTGCTGCAGTCGGGCATGTTGTATACAACGACGGAATGCACAGTGTCTTTTGCAAGTCGTTTGTCTGTATACATCACTAAACGCCTGGCCCTTGCCCCTTACCGCATTGGCTGTCTTCATCCCATCCTAGCCTCCCCGAGTCCCCCCTTTCGCCATCCGCTTCGCCCCCAGTGTTGCCAGTCAACACTGTGAATCCGTACGGATATTCAGAGGCAAATTTCAATCAGCTCCATATCGCCTGCTTTATTCACCCTGTCCCAGTATTCCCCGTCATGCCATTATCCACGCAACTAATAACGCTGCCACGCTGCCTGTCGGATACTAGTATCACTGGCTCACGGCATCCAGCAGCTGACAAAATAGTGATAGCCCGACGTCCGCCGTCCCCCTCTATCCTTTGCATTTTGCTTCAAAGATCCGACAATTCCTTTCGTAGACTACTCCGCACCTAAGGCAGCATTGGCCATCTGCCGGTCCTCCGCCAGCGCCGCCAGCGGTCGACAACTCCTCCTCCTCCTCCTCCTCTCTCTCTCTTTCTCTTCTCGATAAAGATTGATCGTCTTCATTCATTACAATTTTGGGAAAAGAGGAGGGGCGAGCTCATGCGTTGTGGACTTGAGGCCCGGGCTCGGATCCGCTGCATCAACACAATTTCCGAGTTGGTCTGGGCCCCCTTTGCCAATCCTCAAATCTGATAGGCTGTCCATCGCCCATACTCACCGCCATATTCATCCGCTCCTCCCACAGCACTGAGCTGCAGCAAGGTCGTGCTCATAGCGAAGAAGTTGGTACTTTGGGATGCCTTCAATGCCTTTGCCATGGATCTGTATAATAACATACACGCCACCAATCGGGAACGTCTTCTCTTCAATTGCAAATGCTGGTTCTGTTCTGTCTTGGTCTACTACATTGTATCCATTCCAGCCACTCCTGTCTTTATGTAACGACTAGCTTTTATATGCCTTCAAGTTGATGTGAAACCCGGTACTCCCCTATCCAAAGTGTCTTGACCCCATATCGACATGTTGAGATGCTGTCTTGGGTCGCTGAGAGCCGTCTTTTTAACGAACCGGGAATCTTCATCACAAACGCCTTACCAATGCCATAGCTTCTACATGCGTGTCTAGTACAAGACGCGGGTCATGATGCGTGCTGTATCTTTGTGTAAGTAACTTGTCAACTCGCCACTGCATTTTTGAATTTGTACTCACAGCTCAGAGAATCCAGACCGTCGTTGATCTCCTTGATATCTTCGGCCTTGACGTCGCTTACGTCGGCCATGAGGTACGCAATCTAGACCCAGGTTAGTAACCCAACTTCCGTCTTCTACTACATAGGGAACTTACGTCGCCTCTGCTGTCAGAGATCTGCTTGTCAACATTGTGGTTACCAAGAATCTCGTTAACTACCGTCCATTAGCACTCCATAGACACACTAATCATATGAACCATAGGCAATATCTCACCTCTGCGCAATACACCAGGAACGTTGCGGTGGATGTAGATGACCTGGATTCCCCTATCAGCTCTCTATTAAAATCCGCATGGCGCCAAATATTGCTTACACGAGCGTGGTCGGGCTCATCCAGAGTCAATGATCTTAGGTTAACCTCAGGCAGGTTAACACTGTTGAGTGTGGTGCCCTGGTTAATGTAGCGAACAAGCGCCTCGGCAACTATTTGCATATAAGTTTGGATGCTTGGCCTAGCCACTGGGTTTATTCCTTACCTTCGACACCAATAGCACGCTGGGCTTCCTCAGTGCTACCACCAATGTGTGGCGTCAAGATGATGTTGTTCAGGCTACGCAGATCCTCGCCCCATGTGTTGAGCGAGCTGTTAAAGTAGTCGCCGTTGGCCGCAGGCTCGTTGGGGTAGACGTCAAGAGCAGCACCGGCAATCTTGCCAGAGCGCATGGCGTTAATCAAAGCCTGAATATCGACAACACTACCACGGCTGGCGTTAATCAGGTAAGCGCCAGTCTTCATCTTCTCGAGCTGAGCAGTGGAGATCAGGTTCTTGGTCTCTGGCAGCTCAGGTACGTGCAAGGTAACGAAGTCGGCCTCCTCCAGCAAGGCTTCCAAGGTGGGTACTTGGGTCGAGGTTCCCAAGGCCATCAGATTCACGACATCGTAATAGACAACATTCATACCCATGGCCTCAGCCAAGACGGAAAGCTGCGAGCCAATGTGGCCATAGCCCACGATACCTGGTTTGCAGTCAGCGATTGATAGGGCTTCCTCCGCACCATGTGACGACGCACAGTACGAAGGCGGGCAGGGCAGGACTACATACCGAGCGTCTTGCCACGGATTTCCCAGCACTTGGAGCTGACCTTGTTCCAGGTGCCGCGGTGCATCTCATTGGAGCGGTCACCAAGCTGGCGGGCCAGGGTGATGATCTCGGCAATAACAAGCTCTGCAACACTGCGCGAGTTGGCGAAAGGGGAGTTGAAGACAGCAATGCCGTGAGCGGCGGCGTATTCGAGGTTGACCTGGTTGGTGCCGATGCAGAAGCAGCCAATGACGAGCAGGTTCTTGGCCTCACGCAGGACCTTCTCGGTCAACTTGGTCTTGGAGCGAATACCAATGACATGCACGTCCCTGGAGGATCACATTGCATGAGTACGGGGCATTCTCTCACTCTCTTAATCAGACTTCAGTGTAAGGGAGAGGCCTACCGAATCTTCTCAATGAGCTGATCTTCAGGCAGAGAGGTCTTGAGAGCCTCGACCTGGTAACCTTGCTCGGTCAGGATGTCTTTTCCTGTCTGGTTGACATTTTCGAGTAGCAAAATCTTAATGTCCTGGGTGTTGAAGGGCTTCAGAAGCTTCGGGGCTGGCCTCTGGGCTAGAGCAGGGCCGGCTCTAGCAAAGCTTGAAGGGGGGGAGGTGAAAGTGGCGGTTGGCGAAGTTGAAAGTCCCAAGCTGGCGGAAACTTCGAGCTGTCTCCCGTGCGCAGAAGCGCCAGTGATATCTTGTGCTGAGCTCATCATGTGTGGTTGGTATTGGTTTTGCTAGGTGAGCAAGGTCGATGGGATGGAGGGGCAGCACGATTTTTTGATGCGGGGCAATAGAAGCACAAGAAAGCTGCCAGATCAAGAGCGGCTGGGGTGTTGTTGAGTGTGAAGTCGGAGAGAAAGGGAGAGCGCCGTCTGGTATACGACGAGAAGGCTAGATGAGCAAGAAACAAGGACAACCAGGGCAACGGGTCGAGGTAAAAATTGGGAATGTTTCCGGGAGGAGGAAGTTTTTAATCACCTCATGTCAAGTAGCCAAAATGACGCGGGATGTGAGACGGAGGGCCATGACTGATGTAAAAGAATGAGGTAGGTAACAGGTACCATAACTTACCTTGGGTGTGGAAGGTGGTACCCGATGACTGTTTCCAGTTCAATGCATGTATCTTCACTATTATTTAGCACGCTGGAGGTACCTCTCGGTGCCCTTTTTGTAAGGTCGTTGACGTGCAGTCTGCTGGCCGCCTGTGGGGGGCACTACAAAGGGAAGGATCCAGCGAGACAGACCCCGATGTTGTGGGCAAGTGGTCCGGGATTCTCCCGCCGCAAATGGACACTGTTTCTATACGGTGCAGACGCCAATCGTGGACAGCAGAAATCGACCAAAAATAAAGAGCTCATGCGACTCGGGCTCGCACAGTGGATAAAGTCCGACTTTGCCAGCGGAGCAGGCCCGAAGGCCGGCAACATCCCTCAAGGTTCCGGCACTCGGTCGTAGACTCTTCAATCTCAGAGCCTATCTGGAAGCTAGGTGCCTTAGGTAGCTTGCAGCCAAGCACGCCTTCCTGGGATTGAGACTTGAGTCACTGCAGATGGTGGGTTAAAGAGAGAAAAAAAAAAATCCAATTTTCTCCGGCGCCGGCGCGGATGGCACACCGCACAACAAGCATGAGACGGGACTGGCCACGACCTCCTTTGCGTGGGTCGCGGCTTGTTTGAAGATTTGGCCGACGCATTAAATTCAACTTGATGTAGGTACGAGGTGCTTTGACTAAGAAGATTGCTCGTGTTACCTGCCTAAGTAATCACCTGTAATAAAGTCGCTGACCAGACCAAAGTGCCGATTCCGGGCCGCTCAACGATCTATGCGAAATCACCTCTCCTGTATACATCAACTTAGGTAAGGTATTCAGTGTGAGGTTCAACGGCCGCTCCGACCTTTTACAGGTCCGCAAGCACCGCCGCGTCCGCCCTTGAATCCCCCGACATTCTACGGAGCTTCCATATTGGTCACAGCCGCTAAACCTCAAGGCGACATCCTGACAATGGAATGAGATTCCTCCATGCTTTTGAATATAGCTCATAATCAACTAGGTGCTTCAGTTGCCCAAGTATCGCGACAACACGCTAGGTGCGCTGCATTATTCTCAAATACGCAAAGTGAGCGAAGGAGGGAGCTGAGAATTTTAAGTGGCCCACAGCCATATGCGGACATGGGCACCTTCCCACCCCACCTTGGAGTTGCAAGCAAAAGGAAGATTTGCTTATTTGACTTATTTTCTGTCTATTGCTTCCATTGTTGATGCCCGTACCCGTCTTACATGAAGGAAAATTCGGGTGAACACCCTTTCTACAAATCCATTTTAGCACCGACGTATAGCATCATTCATGACCAGAGCGTAAGATAGCCGTATCGTTGAGAATGTTTGAGACCGAAACGTCAATTACCATCTATCAAGCAAGAAGCCCATCCATTCAATGCTGCTCTGCTTGGATTAACCCTCAAAACGGGTTTATTGACGTGGTGCTGAGCGTGACGTCGCTGCCGCCGGCTTTCGTGACGCGAAAGAACCAGAGCATGACTATCACGCACTCCCCCAAATGAAGTCTGCCATGAACGTGAAGAACCTAGCAATTCAGTCGACCGGCGTTTGCTGCTCAGCTTTGCTTGCATTCAGCCGCCTCCGCCTTGGGCTTGCCGGTGTCATCCTGAGTATGATTAGCGTCTGCTGTCGTAGAGTCCTCAAGTTAGGCGTCACTTACGTCGTCCTCGGACTCCTCATCCTCATCACGGTCCTCGCTAAGGTCATCCTCATCCTCGTCGTCTTCATCATCAAAGTCGCCCTCCATGTCGTCATCGTCGAGCTCCTCAAAGGCCAGGGCCTCGCCGGTGAACCAGTCAATTGCACGGGGAATGAGCTTCTCCTTGATGTCCTCGCCGAGTTGATAGTCAAGCTCGAGGCGCTCCTCAATGTCGGAGGCAGCGTCATCGTCCTCGTCGGCAGGGGCCTGGGGAGGCGAGAAGAAGTTGAAGAAAGATTCGGTGGGCACCGTCTTCTTGACAATGCGGGTCTGCTTGGTGTCTGGGAGAGGGGTTAGCGGCTGCATCTCGATGTGCGGTTATTCATGCAAATCTTACTCTTGTTTCTCTGCTTCTTGCTCTCGACTCTGACAGTCAAGTCCTTGCCCTCCTTCCACTCGATCTTGTCGCCCTCGGCATGGTCGTAGATGAAGTCACCGCCATAGCCGCTTTCACTTTGGTAAAAGTATGTCTTGGTGACAGTCTTGTTGGTGAAGAAATCATTCTCGGCGAACTCGAAGATGAGGCGGAAGCCAGGCTTGTCGAGGTACTCCATGCGGATATCGATCAGGTGCTTAAGAGCGGCCTCGTCGCGATCGGTAATCATCTCGGCGAGAGAAATCTGGTTCTTCATGGCAGACAACCAGAACTCGGGGATACCAGAAACCGACTCATTCGATTCGGCAGGCTTCTCGGCCTTCTCAGCTTCTTCAGTCTCCTCATCGTCCTCCTCGTCATCCTCCTCGCCGGCTTTGATCTCCTCCTCGGTAGGCTCAGAGGCACCGTTGACAACCTTGGCACGCTTCTCGTAGAGAGGAGTGAATTTGGCGAAGTACTTCTTCTCGAGCTGGAGAACCTCCTCCTGGAACTCGGCCTCAAGCTTGGAGTGTTCCTTCTGGATGCCTTTGAGGCCGGCAACACGGCGACGCACCTGCGGAGGCAGCGACTCGATGTAGCCGGAGGATCGGCCAACGAGAGAACCAAGTCTTCCTTGGATCATCTGGACAAGCTTGGGGTTCTGTGCAAAGATGGAGGCAGCAGCGGCACGGTCGAGGTCCTCTGTAGATTGGGTGCACGTCAGTAACAGGTCGATAGAGGGGTGGTCGTATCCAAAAGAAAGTCAAAGTGCGCGCAAGAGAAAATGGAGACGAATAACGTGGCGGGGGTTTTAGTACATACCTTCCTTGATGCTGGCGACGCCAGGCTGCTGGGCATGCGACGAAATGGGCGCATTTTGAAGGGGGGTGTTTTGCGGCGTACTGGATGCTCGGGAGTAGATGTCAGCGATGGTGATCGTGGAATGGGGCAAGGGAAGCCTAAGGAAGCGACCCCTCGCCACCGGAGAGAGCAGTGCCGCAAGGTTTGTGACTTACGGCGCGGTAGCCGGATCAAGGCGCTTGTTACGGATGGGCTCAGCCATTATGTGCGATCGAATCTTTTGGTTTTTCCTATCCGATAATGGAGCGATACCACAAGAGGCGTGGGACAGAGAAGTCCCGGGCTGATCTGGAGGGAGGTTGCGGTTGATGGAGTTGGCAGGGCAGAAAACGGTGCCGAACGTGGGAAGTTGTAGATGCGCAGTTGACTTTATTTTGGTGGGGGGGGAAGGCAATGTGTGGTATTGGAAAAAAATTAAATTGGGAGAGAGGCTTTCTCCTCCGTTGGGGCGGGTACCGCAAGTTGGCGCCTGGGCTCCTCCTATGGTTAGGCGGACATGGCGGGCACAGCGGGTAGCGTGCTGCCAATGGATACCACTGCGGGCGACTTCCATAAAGATGGGCGGGCAACCTGGGCCAAGGGGGCCGGGCAGACAGTTCCCTGTTATTGGACCTCATGAGGTTAGGTCAGGTAGGCAGGTACCTAAGGCACCATACCTATCCGTACAAATGGTATGGACACCAGGTGGTGTAGGTACAGGTACCCGCAAGGTGGTGAGGTAGCCCAAGTAAGGTAGGTAGGTACCTAGGTAGTCCCGCATCACGCTGGGCTCTATAAGAGAGGTCCCGGTACGTTCGACTGGTCAGACGTGTTGAGGAGGTATCTGTCTTAACAGAGACACTAACATCAACCTTCAGTAACTATCCTAGGGCTCCGAACATCTCTTTGTCGTACGCTGCACGGCTGCACAAAGCCCAAGAGACAAGCAGCTATTGATACCACACAATATTTGTCAATCAACATCATTTCAGCGAAATTGACCCAGGCAAGTCTAAGCATTGATTCCATACTTACCTACTATATCCGTACGTGGTCGGCCAAGTGAGGTAATGCGGGGGTTGTGGCGGGGGTCACTGGGGCTATCTCAGTGCTCTCCCGTCTTGCGTAACCTGGACGGCACCCAAGGAATCATCGTGTTTTTAACAAGTCCCTTCCTAGCTAAGTATATGCCGGACCATAGATTAGAAAAAGGAAACTTAGTAGGAAAGAATGCATTAACTCAACCATGGGCATCAATATGAGTGTTCAGTTAGAAGATATACATGAGCAAATGGAAGGCAGCCGTTGATATTGGTCGAGGGCATTGAGGCAGTTCCCCTCCAAGGTTTTTGTCGGCATTTGCCGAGGGCTGCTTACCTAAAATTTCAATGAGACAAACCCTCCCTCCCCTCACCCGTTAGTACGCCACAGGGTTCTTACTACAGATCCCATTCGCGACCAATTCCAGCGATTCGTTTCTTATCGGTTCAAGAGGTGGCCCAGTTGCCCAATTGCCCAGCCACCGTGTTGCCCAGGACTATGGCGGCGCTATCTAGCCACCTACTCGGGGGACAAAGTAAATGGCCGCCTGTCCTTACATTAGCCAACAAAAAGCGGCCATTTAACTTGTCCTCTGAGTCTTGGTAGCGAGAGCATGATGCCTATCCCATCGATGATAAGGTAATCCGAAGATACTTTACTTTACATAAGGCACGCGAGGGCAATGTAGTACTTACCCGCGACCTGTCACCTTGCGTGCTTGCCTCTACCTTACCTTAGGTATTAGGTAATTATGTCGTCGTAGGTACACATAAACCACATGCCTGTCTACCTAGTACTCCAACCGCCTTGCAATCCCTGATAACATACAATTCCTCTTCCGTACCAATCTGAGTTGCTTTACTATTGCAGCGCTGAGGATGCGGTATGCCAACATATCATATACGTAGCTCAACGAGATAGCTACGGGTGCCTGGCTTTTCCTTGCCCTTTTGTGAGCTCTAGCTATAAATCCAAACTCTAGCGCCCATCCAACTTGAGGACGATTGGACCGACCGTGCGGGCATCCGCGCTGACTTTCTTCGACCTGCCAATCGACCCCCCAACTCCGAAATCGCATCGCATCGCATCCCAGTACAGCTTCCTCGAGCTGCTTCTTCCAGTTTTCGCGGCCCAAGTAAGACTGTTGACGCACGGTAATGGGTCGTTCTCGCCAAAGTTACAACACTGCTTCTCCCACCTCGACCCTCGCTTCGGTACTTCAGCCACCCCTTCGACCTCTCGTCTCTCGAGCTGGAACCTTCGATACCGTTACGGCGACTCGATCGCCCTGAAGAAACCGCAGACATGCCTGCGCCTGGAGAGAACGGGCACTATCGTGCCTCCTCTACATCAAGGAATGGCCATGCGCCGCTCTACCGGCTCGACTCGAACCAGAGCTCAACGAGCATCTTCGAGGAGGTGGAGATGGCCCACGACGAGGTTAGACATAACCCAAGTTCCGTCTCCAATTGCGCATGGACTCTAATTATATTGTCTATAGCTCTTCTCGGGTCCCATGGCCGAAAGCCTTCCTACCAGCGTTTCGGCCTTCTCACATCGACGTCCTCGTGCCGACTCTACGACGAGTTTTGCATACTATCACGATGAGCCCGAAGCCTCCCCTACCTCGTTCGAAGATGAACGCCAGAGCCTGTCGGATGTGGGAGACTTCGCATTTGGTGATGAGGATGAAGGCTATGCTGATTACGAAAATGGCGACCCCATCGATGATTACATGTCCCAACGCAGGCGGTCGTCAACACACTCGAGATCGTCTGTTCACGCCCGTCTATTGCGCCAAGACAGTGGTATGACCAATAAGAGCCTTGGTGGGGATCGTTTAAGCCAGAAGGTCTACATGGTGAACGAAGACCTTACCATTGCAATTGCTGGCTTTCGGACGAGTCGGCTTGGCTTCGTTGTGTATGCCGCACTTTGCCTATGCACTGCTGGCATCGCTTGGCTGCTACTCAGATGGTTTCCCAGATGGCAGGTGAAACTTTTGGGTCTACCGTCTCCTCTAGCGGAGTGCGACTGGGTTGTTGTCGAGGTAAGCTATGCGTCCCCCTTATTATTACACATGAGCTGACTTCGTCTAGAACCAATGGGGAGAGTTCGTCCTGATGGACGTAGACAAAAAGCTGTATGGTAGACCTATGTCTACCATCTTTGGCTCCACTGGAAAGAGCTACGGGGTGGATGATGATTACGATCCCATTATTACCGAGTTGCGTATGCTCAATTATCGTTACGTTCGCTTGTACTTCAACCAGCAAAAGGACAAGTTTGTCATGTTCAACGGCTGGGTTGATCCGAATTGGACCGATCCTCGAGCCGTACGTGCCGGCATAGACAGCGACGAGAAGGGACTGCGAGCAGTTGTGTTTGGAAACAACCTGATTGACATTGAGCAAAAGTCAACACCGCAGTTGCTCGTAGATGAGGTAGGTGATCGTTTCTTGTGATTGGCCGAGGTGCTAATTGTTCCAGGTTTTCCATCCTTTCTACGTCTTTCAAATTGCTAGCCTGGTTCTATGGTCTCTTGACGAGTATTATTACTACGCCGTGGCTATCTTCCTCATGTCGTTTGGAAGTATCGCCACTACACTCATAGAAACCAAAGCGGTAGGTCAAATTACACGTTGTGCTTTTGCGACAGCGGAAGGCTAATGAACAGACGATGAAACGACTCCGCGAGATTTCTCGCTTCGAGTGCGATGTGCGCGTCCTTCGAAATGGATTCTGTAAGGACTCAGCTGCCGTATCACACTTGCTGGATATTCTGACAGACATAGGGCGATTTGTATCTTCGAGCGAGCTCGTGCCTGGTGACGTGTACGAGGTCAGCGACCCGAATCTTACTCAATTTCCAAGTGATGGCTTGCTTTTGAGCGGCGATTGCATTGTTAATGAGAGCATGCTCACAGGTGAGTCTCTCTCTTGAATGCTACTTTTCCATAAGCGAAACTTACTTACGGCTGCTTCTCAGGTGAATCGGTGCCTGTGTCAAAAACACCAGCCACTGATGAGACCATGCACAGTCTCGATTTGGCTGCGCCGACCGTGTCGCCTGAGATTGGTAAACACTTCCTCTTCTGTGGCACCAAGATCATTCGCGCCCGGCGGCCGCAGGAAGAGCGCGATGGAGACGCAGTCGCCCTCGCCCTCGTGGTCAGAACGGGATTCAGCACCACGAAGGGGTCCCTTGTCCGGTCCATGCTCTTCCCCAAACCATCTGGCTTCAAATTCTATAGAGACTCGTTCCGTTACATCAGCGTCATGGCCGTTGTGGCCATGCTTGGTTTCATCGCGTCTCTATTTAATTTCCTGCGACTTCACCTTGCCTGGCACCTCATCATAGTCCGTGCTCTCGATCTTATCACCATCGTGGTGCCACCAGCACTGCCCGCGACGCTCACGATTGGTACCAACTTTGCGCTCAGTCGACTGAAAAAGAAACAAATCTTTTGTATCAGTCCACAGCGGGTCAACGTAGGTGGAAAGATTGACATCATGTGCTTTGACAAAACCGGTACATTGACAGAGGACGGATTGGACATACTCGGTGTTCGCGTTGCATCGCCGGTGACAGGCAGGTTCACGGATGTGCTTACGGATCCATTATCGTTCGTACAAGAACAGGCCGGCGGTTCAGCCCAGATGTCCAGATTGAAAGCTGCCTTATACACCATGGCAACTTGTCACTCGTTGAGGTCTGTGGATGACGAGCTGATGGGCGACCCACTTGACCTAAAAATGTTCGAGTTTACAAGATGGTCTTTCGAAGAAGGCAAACAAAGCCCCAATGAGGTGGACGACCAAGATCAGGGCGGACTTTCGCCGTCAGTCGCTCGACCTCCAGCTGAGCATGATGCTATTCTGCGTGGCACCACTCACCAGGGAGACCAATCAGTAGGCTGCGGACCCCTCTTGATCAAAGCTAGACTAACCCACTTGATCAGCAACCGCTTGAACTGGGAGTACTGAAGTCCTTCGAATTCGTTTCGCAGCTCCGTAGAGCAAGCGTCATCGTTCGACAGTTTGGACAGCAAAGTGGGGACATATATGTCAAAGGTGCTCCTGAATGCATGCGAGAGATATGTCGTGAAGACAGCTGTAAGTGACCTATTTCTACCGCAGTGATATCTCCTCACCCACGAAAGCGCCACTGACATTTACTCTTCTTTGTGTCAAATAGTCCCAGTCGACTATGATGATCAGCTTGCCTACTATACACACAAGGGTTACCGCGTCATTGGCTGCGCAGCTCGCCATATTCCAAAACTTAGCTGGGTCAAAGCCCAGAAGATGAAGCGACATGAGGCAGAGTCCCAATTGGAATTCACTGGTTTCATCATCTTCGAGAACAAGCTCAAGCCGACTACGGCTCCTGTACTGACCGAGCTGCTGGAATCGAACATCAGTACGACGATGGTAACAGGTGACAACATCCTGACTGCCATCAGCGTGGCTCGTGAATGCAACCTGATCAACAAGACCGCACACTGCTTTGTTCCGAGATTCGTAGAAGGTAGGTGGTGAACAATAAGGTATCTGAATGGTTCTGACAACGAGCAGGCAATGCCGGTGACCCCAAAGCTCGGCTACAGTGGGAAAGCATCGATAACGGAGGCTTCCAGCTGAACGAACAGACTCTTCTTGTAAGTCCAACCCAACTTTGGAGGCAATTTTACAGAAGCTAATTTGGTGCTCAGCCACTGCCGCCTCCGGCTGATATTGACGCATCGTTGGCGTATAACATTAATGACATCCGCAATTACTCACTAGCAGTCAGCGGTGAGGTATTTCGCTGGATTGTGGACTTCGCGCCTCCGTTGGTATTGCAGAGAGTATGTTCCTACCTACCCCGAAGATGCCGCCTGGTTGCCTTTGCTCACAAACTTAGATGCTGGTCCGTGGTCGAGTGTTCGCGCGTATGTCTCCAGACGAAAAACACGAGCTGGTCGAGAAATTGCAAGCGATTGGGTACTGTTGTGGCTTTTGTGGTGACGGTGCGAACGATTGCGGCGCTCTCAAGGCTGCAGATGTTGGCATCTCCCTCTCAGAGGCGGAAGCTTCCGTTGCAGCTCCGTTCACGTCACGCGTCTTCGACATCGGTTGCGTTCCCCAGGTTATCCGGTAAGTAGTGCCACTGGCTGCGAAGCAGAGTATTATCATAACAAGTATCTTTAGCGAGGGGCGTGCTGCGCTTGTGACGAGCTTCAGTTGCTTTAAGTACATGAGTCTGTACTCGGCCATCCAGTTCACGTCTGTCAGCTTTCTCTATGCTACAGCTTCTAATCTCGGCGACTTTCAAGTAAGTCTATGTGATCACCAAAGTCTCACCATTAGCTAATCACTCTGCAGTTTCTGTTCATCGATCTACTCCTGATTCTTCCCATTGCCATTTTCAGTAAGCCACTATTCTACATCAGAGCCTTCGAGCAATACGCTGATATGTGTCATAGTGAGCTGGGCCGGACCATACCCCGTTCTGTCACGAAAGCGACCGACTGCAGACCTTGTCTCGCGCAAGGTGCTCATCCCGCTGCTAGGACAGATGGTTATTTGTATTCTCGTGCAGACTGCTGTGTATATCGCCGTGAGAAAGCAGTCATGGTGAGCGATTCAAACCTTACTTCCACATTCTATTTTGCGCATCGCTAACCGGATAAAAAGGTACATCCCCCCACGAGTCAACCATGACAAATCGAATATCAAGAACTCGGAAAACACTGTCTTATTTTTGGTGTCCTGTTTCGAGTATATCTTGGCGGGCGTGGTACTCAACGCGGGCCCTCCCTTCAGGGAGAAGGCGCTAAAGAACTGTAAGTGAAGTTGGATTTCTGGAAGATTTAATCAACTAACACTAACAAGGGCCGTTTATGGCAACCATCGTGGCAACCATTTCAATCACCTTGTGGATGATACTTGGTCCGGGGCATTCAGTAAGGCACCTGATGCAACTCACCAAGACGAGCTGGGACTTTGAGCTCTTCATGATTTTATTAGGGGGCGTTTACTTGGTCACGGCGTGGATATCGGAAAAGTACATCTTCCGAAAGCTGGCTCGGGCTGCGGGACGTTTCAAGGAACGCATCTTGATGAAGCCGAAGCAAAGAAAGGAGTATAAAATCATTTTGGAGCAAATGGACTTGTAGGATTACACCGTTAGAAAGCCGCCTTTGAGGTAAAAGGGAGAATGCGATAACGTATCCCCACAAAGAGTATAACAAGTACTGCTCTAATGTATTCAAACAATCAAATGACTGTTACTAAGAGCCTGTCTTCTATATAGAATGTGGATTATCCATCTCGTTCCTGTTCGAATATTAGGATGCTGCAATGGTAGGCCAGATTGGGCGTGCGATGATCGCGAATGTTGGGTGAACCATGAATGAACGTGTCATCGATGATCCACCGACCCGCATTCCGGTGCCGACCTAGCCCAGGCGGGTCGTTCCGGCTCCGAGTGGCCGGGGGCTGCGGCTGCACCATGCGACCTGCCACCCCAGCCACAAGGACAGCTGGGTAGCTCTCGACAGCTTCCCTCAGTCGATGCAATCAATCTAGCCAAGCTTTGACTGCCATCGTCTATTCCCAACTCTCGTGCCAACAGTCCTCGTTGAATTAGCCTAGAGACCTCGCATCAACCAACGACTTACATTGCTTGTAACTCATTGCTTATCCTTCACTTGGATTTGGTGCTCGGACACCGCTGTGGTTTCAAAGTACAATACAACCTCACGCATCGGGACTCAGGCCACAAAGACGGTCAATCCCTTGCTTCTGTCACTCTTCTCATTTCAACTAACCCTTTGCGAATCACCTCTGCTGCGAAGATGAACACGGGTACGTCCTCGCAACGAAGCACCGTCAAGCTCATTGTGAAGCTGGCCTGAGACTGGACAAGACATTTCTAACGCAACATCTAGACTGGCTCCTCGACAGCGGCTACCTGCCCCACGCCGTCATCAGGATAGGCATCCGGCGCCAGCTCCAGGAGCGTCTCGACTCCATTGCGAGCACGTCCCTCAGCCTCGACTACGAGCGCAAGATGACGTTCATCGAGAAGCTGCGCACCCAGCCCATCGCAATTGAGACCGCTGCGGCTAACAAGCAGCACTACGAGGTTGGCACTGGCGTCCTTGCCGCATGCCTTGGCCCCCGCATGAAGTACTCATGCTGCCTGTACCCCAAGGGAGGCGAGACACTGGCACAGGCAGAAGTGGCCATGTTGCGGACGTACGTCGAAAAGGCCGATATAAAGGACGGTATGAGTATCTTAGATCTCGGGTGAGTTGTCTCCGGTTCTTTACATGCATCGTGAGATCATATATAAGTTTCAGGGCTGAGTTGACGTTTGCAGTTGCGGTTGGGGATCAGGTGCGCTGTACTTCGCTGAGGTACTCCCCAACTCAAAGGTCACGGCCTTTTCCAACTCCAGGACCCAAAAGGAGTACATCGATGGAAAAGCCAAGGACAAAGGGTTGTCCAACCTCACGGTCATCACAGGCAATGTCGTTGACTATGAGTTTGAGCGGGAGTCTTTTGACAGGGTCGTCTCTATTGAGGTATGTGTTTTGATTCGCCGCTAGATGTGTCCGATGAAGTGGGTGTTGATTATATCCAAAGCTATTCGAGCACATGAAAAATTATGAGCTCCTCATGGCAAAGGTGGGCAGGGCGTTGAAGCCCGGTGGCAAACTTTTTGTTCACATCTTTGCCCACAAGACCACGCCGTACGATTAGTAAGTGGCGGCCGCAATGTTGTTCATTCATGACAAACGCTGACCGTGGGGGAACGCAGCGAGGAGGGCTGGATGACAACCCATTTCTTCACAGGAGGTACCATGCCTTCCACTGACCTGCTCCTGTTCTTCCAGCGGGACCTAAAGATCCAGAAGCAGTGGTGGGTCAACGGACTACATTATTCCAAGACTTGCGAGGTAAGTTGTCGTCGATCTTTCTTCTAGCCTAGATCAGTCTCGGGAGGAAAAGCTAACACGGGCGTCAAGCACTGGCTGATCGAGATGCTCGCACACAAGAAAGAGATCTGGCCGCACTTGGTCGAGACGTATGGGGAACAGAACGCCAGCGTGTGGTTCAACAGATGGCAGATCTTCTACTTGGCGTGTTCTGAGCTGTTCGCCTACCAAGGCGGGGACACCTGGGGCGTGTCGCACTACCTTTTCGAAAAGCCCAACACTCAGTAGAAGGGACGGACAGAGATGAATCCAAGCATAGTTGTGCCTGCCGTAATTGCCTAACACCCATAATAGAGTAGCTATCCGTTCATTCCTCTGCTGATATCTGTTTGACTTGTGGACTGGCGAATGCCGAAATGTTTGTCCATGTCGCGCATTCTCTGCGCATCCCTCAAACTTGTCGTTCACTATACCGCCCCTCTCCAGAACTTTCGGATCAATGGTCCCAGGGGTGCTTCCAGCCCAGCAAGACAGCTCCTGCACACACCCGTCAGTATTCACGCACTCAGTATCGTTGACAGGTGAGGGAAATTTACCGTCCTTCTTCGCGCGGTACATGAGCTGTTGGTGGTGTAGATTGACATTAGCTTTCACGGCCTCCCATCACCAATTGGGGCCTCAATTAGAGACATACGAAGAACCACATGCCAGCGCCCAGGGCTGTCGCCGTAAAGCGGTACACACCAGGGACGTGAGGCGTCGGGGGCTTGGGACCGGGATACATAGCGAAGGTCGATACGGGCGCGTCGTTCGGAGAAGATTCTCGAGGGGGAGGGAGGGTTTCCTGAGATTATTACTCGTCAGCAGACAGCCAGAGACTCAATTGAGCCCGTCTAGATGGGCCAGCATACCTTGGGTTCGCCTTTGCCTCTAGGCGTTCTGAACTTCGCTGGGAAACAACGTCGGGAAACTCGGATAGTGATGGTCGTTCATCAGTACGAGTGGGAAGAAACGTCGTTGACGGACTGACAACCTGAAATGTCCTTGGATGCTTAGGTAAGTCAGCCTGTGCCGGCACGTCGGACCAATGGCAGAAAGTGCATTCCAACATGCTCTTTCCTTCATGGCCCAGGAGACTAGGAGCACTAGGTGACTCGTGCTCAATTATGCAGCTACACTACGTATCTCCTTTGTTGCAGCACAGCGGCACATACGAATACTCGATAGGTACCCAGGTACCTTGGGGCCTTGGCTCACAGCGCACTTCCCTCATTGCCTCAGTGCTCCGTAGTCCGTACAAAGGCTCAACGCCTCAAACCCCTGGGCACTCAATTAGCGGCGTCAGGGTGGTCGTAGATTCCACCTTTAAAAGCCCCCGGCCGGATAAGAACCCACCCCTCCCCAGTGACTCCAGTGACAGTCGCGACATGAGATAGTTGGTGCCACCTATCCCTCCATCTGTCAGATACGCTCCTAAACTTCTTGAACGCCAGCCCATCTTTCTGCACCTACGTCGACCGCCCATTCTTCTACGCAACCTTGCGTGACCCGACACGACTCATACGTTCGCTCTTTCAATCAAAAGCTGCCACTGTCCGGGTCAGCTGGACGAGACGATTTCCGCCGAATATCGATCACTAGACGATTACATCACCCCAAGCTACAACAGCCTGCGCATTTAACATGGCAACTCCCAAGTTCAACTCAAAGTCGCCGACTATACGGCGCATATGTAAGATGCCCCTCAGACATTGGACCCTTATCCATCTGACCGCCTCAAAGCCCGCTAATCAATCCAATCCAAATCAGTGCGTGAAGCCCAGGAACTCTCCAGCTCTCCATCACCAGATTATACGGCTACTCCACTAGAGTCAGATCTATTCGAATGGCACTTCACGTTCCGCGGGCCACCCAACTCCTCCTATAGCGAAGGCATTTATCATGGCCGTATCGTGTTGCCGCCTACATATCCTCTTCGCCCGCCGAGTTTCCGCTTCCTCACACCTAGTGGTCGTTTCGAAACCAACCGGGAGATTTGTCTAAGTATCAGCGGCCACCATGAAGAGACGTGGCAACCTGCATGGGGCGTGAGGACGGCCCTTGTCGCGTATGTTTAGCCCCTCTTTACCTTTCCAGTCACGATTAGAGTTTTTTCTCCTTTGCCTAACATGACGACAGGTTGCGTAGCTTCATGGAGACGGACCCTCGAGGTCAGCTGGGCGGTCTCGAAACGAGCGATGCCGTGCGAAAGCGTCACGCAATGGCATCACACACATTCAAATGCCCAACCTGCGCAAAGTCAAATATCGAAATCATCCAGGAATGCGAAGAGTCGGCAAAGGCCAACTCAGACTCGCCAGATTCAGCGACCGAAGTCGAGATACCCTCCGAGTTGAAGCTTGGATACAAGGATGAGATGGCCGAGTCCAAGGGCTCAGAAGGAGAATCTACAGCAGCAGTGACGCCGATGCCTCCGACATCAAGAACCGAACCGGTGGATACAGAGAGTGCCGAGCTGGCCGAGGGCTTTGTTCGTACGGCACCTGAGACAGTCGCAGCGGCCTCGAGTTCGGCGTCAGCATCACAACCACCAGCGACAGCGGCATCTTACCCTCCTGCGCGTCCAGGTCAAGGTATTATCGCCCCTACACGGACAGTATCGCTGCCTCCGGCCCCGAATCTTAGTGTGCGCCCCCAAGTCCCTCCTACCACCCGTGCGTATGATGAAGGTGTGCCGCTCTGGGTTGATCGAGCCATTGTCGTTCTCGTTGTGCTTTTGCTGGCCATGATCCTCAAGGTTTTGCTTGACTTTTAGTCATGATGATGTCCCTACAATTTGCTTTAGGGGATACAGCCCCCTCACCCTGGATGAACGCTGGAACGCGAGAATCATTTGCTTCACGGTTACTGGCGTATGGTCAAGGTTGTTTAGGCATTGCTACTTGCCCCGTGTCCATGATATCTCATATCCGGATACTTTTAGACTTTGTTTTATTGATACAACGGCCATCGAGCCAAAACCCCGTGTACACAGCGGGTTAGAAAAGCTACTCCAACGTAATTATTTGCACCGTAGCGAATGCTCTCACCTGCGTGCCGCCCTGACTACCCTGTTGATATCCTCCTTCACGATCCGTTCACAAAACATTTCGCTGTTGTCCAACAAGCAGCCACCACCACTCATCCACAGTGAAACTTTTCCCATGGGTAATGCCCTTCAACACCCCGTACCGTTTTCCCCAGTCAAACACCATCTGTACCTCGAACTCTTGTAGATACGGTTTGAGTACGGCACAGACAGATGCTACATCCAAGGGCCCTCGGGTTGCGACGACGAACGCAACTGCACCAAGAACTTGTGCCCAACGATCATGGTTGAGCTCTCCAAAGAAATCAGACCAGAGTGGAACGGCCCGGTTATGATTTTCCCTCGGCGGCTTGCTATACTTGGCTTTCTGTAAGAGGGCCAAATCTTCATTGTAAACGTACTTCTCTGTGGCCTCGATCTCAAGACCAAAATTGTAGTAGGACTTGGGATATTTCCTACTTTCGTAATTGCCGGGGTCGAATCCGAGAGGGATGTTCGGGACATCGACTGCGGTGACAGCAACTCTTCCGTACGCCTGCAGATTCATCATGGCCATGACCTCGCCATCCCTCAAGACGTAAGGAATCCGGATCTTCTCGCCCCGTCGGAAGCTCACATCAAGTCGTTGCTTGAACTTGGCGGCGTCGATGTATTTGACCTCGTTCGTCCACTTGATGAACCTAGGCAAGAATGTCTCGGTGAGGCGGTAAGGGCGGCCTTCGAGTGCTTTAAGCTTGCTGTCCGTGATGACACCTTGACCTTGGAGGGTCTCGACCGCTTGCTCAAGAAGAGATTGGATGCGGTTCTCATCTCCGCCTCCGATACTCGCCATCTTCTTCCTGATATCTTGCGGCGCATATTTATCGCGATGCGTGTAGCAAAGGGAGCGCAACCACGACATGGCAATGGCCAGATCCTCGGTGTCCCTAGACGGCGCTCCCTCATCCTTGTCCACGAGGGAAGTCGCGGGGCGTGAAGTGGCCGCCTCGAATCTGTTGAAGACAGACATCTGGAAGTTATAGTACTCGTCGCGCCAGTTGGTGACATCGGTCCAGGCTGAGCCGAGAGAGTAACCCCGTTCCAGAGCAGTCTTGCTGGCAGGTAATTCCTGAGAATCCTCAATCAGACCAGTTGTCCACTTGATAAGGCGCGGCCAGTCATAGTCGACATAGTTGTCGAAGTCGATGGGTGGGAACTCCTTGTTCTCGTAGGCTGAGATGAATTGAATCTGGAATCGTTCAGAAAGCTGACTGATGAAAGTACCCCGATCCTTTCGGGCTTTCGACCAGAATCGCCGCATGGCGCTGAGTGCCATGTCAGGAAACAAGGTCATCATGAGACCCCACTCTATGATTCGGTCGGCACCACCAAGAAGTGTTCTTGTAACGACGAATGCAGCTATCAAGATGGTTTCGTTCGTCTCGTCAAGCCCGGCGTTCTTTCTAGATGCATCTCTCAGGTCCATATCTCTAGGCAATGGGATGAGCGTTCTGATCTTCAGGTCGATTCCGACCAAAAGCTCCCTGGACTCAGTCCCGAGCTTGGTTTGTCGTCGCTTGCGCTTTCTTTGGCGACCAACCTCGCCGCCCCAGAGATGATCGGTTGCAGTCGTCCCTTGTTCCGCGATGTGGAGGCTAAACAGCGCAGATTGACTGAGCTGGTTCACAGGATCCCAATCGAGTTGCGGGTTCTCCCAGTCACTCGGGAGGTCATCGACGCCGTGGTTGATAAAGATGTAATCCGGGGCGATCGACTCTGCCAGAAGGAGCTTCATGCCCTCTGTCGACAGCTCCCAGTCAAAGCAGGCATCGACCTGATCGGAAAATTCGTAGAATTGGCTGCTGCTGGGAAGTTTATCTCCAAGTCCACCCCGCCACTTGGTCATCTCGGAGAGGTTTTGAGGCAAGTTCTGCCGCAAGAACCAACGTGAGTCGGGCATCCAGCCACTGATTGTCAGACTGCGATCCTCCGTCTCGAAGAACGTGCTCTCACGTGCCGGCCAGGTACCGTTGTTGCCTTCGATAGTGTCGGCATGAGCGAAGGTTACGCTTAAATCGTCGCTACTCACGTCGGTCTTGGACGGGGCCGTGGGATATGTCAGTTTAGGGTCTGAGACATCAGGGAGAGGCGTGCGTTCGATGTCTTCTGGCATTTCAGGTCCCAGATATGTGTTGGGACTGAGGAAGACGATACTTGGAGTACGACGACTCCCTCCATCTCCGATGGATTCAGAAGGCCCATCACTTGGTCCAGCTTGTCCTGTCATGAAGAATCGGAAGATGTCTCTCTTGCGTGTTCCATCGGGACCTTGATCTTCTGCATGGGCAATCTGTTCCCTTGTGACCATTCTTTTCCTGCGTTTCCTTGGGGTCTGGGATCCTTCAGGGGGCGTGTTAGGCCTCTCGTTGGCTGCTTTGTTGGCATAAAAGGGAGCATCAAGAACTTCCATCACCTGGACCGTCTTCCTGCGGCTTGAGAAGACAGGCTGAGCATCATGCTTGTCGTCTTCGGGCAGTCCTGCCTTGGGCCTGAAGGCCGGCGGGATGTAAAGTCTAGGATGATGAGCCACAATGTTCGCTTTCATAGCCGCACCGGGCGGGGACGACGCTTCAATTCCAGATATTCGAATCAACTGGTAGTTTGCCATCATGCCTTTAGAATTTTTGAAGGCATGTGTACTGACGACCACTTGCTTCTTCTTTGCCAGCCTTGCCAATGCGTTCTTGTACAGTTGCTGGTCCGGAGCCTCTTCAGATGAGAACAGAGCTTCCCACGTAGCGATAGTAGCATACCAAAGGGACTGACCTCCGGGGAAGACACCGCCACTCGCATGTAGGATATACTGGAGTGCCCGTTCCATGGTTTGTGCTTTTGAAATACCACTGCTGTCGGTGAGACTGATCCTCAGTGCGTCTGCATGTGGCAGTGGGTTGGATTCGATGACTGGTGCTGACGCATCTCCTGAGCCAATTCGCTTTGAGCTTCCATCTGAATTTCGCTTGACGGAACCCGAGTACGAGCCTCGTCGCCCCGATCGGTCAGGCGCCTTCGTTGGCGTCAAGCACTGCGGTGGATCAATTCCGGCGGTGTCCGCGAGAGTCGTTCTGCGGCGTTCTGGGGAGACGACCGTTCCCTTCGTTTTTGGTGTATCTTCTTCCTTTACTCTCCCGACTGCCACCTGCAGCGAGGCATGCTTCGTTGGCATGTCTCTTACAGCCCCGGCAGGTTCATCAATGAGCCCGCTCATGGGCAGCTGTGCCGAGGATACCGGCGGCTTCAGCGTACTTGATGATTTTGACGCATTTCGATAACTGCTCGTGTTGCTTCTCGCGCCTTGTCGCGTCTCCTGTGATCCGCCAGATTCCCTCCCTCGATCGGTGCGTGGTCTTCTACTTCTGGAAGAAGTGGCCTCGAATGATTGTATACCCGCTGTCACAGCGTCATCTCCTCCTTCATTCCCGCCGAAGACGTCCTCCTGGCTTCTCTCATCGTCTAGAGTGTCATTGATGGCAGATAATCTCGAGTGTCGAGGTTTGATCTGTCGGGGAGGAACGACTGCTCGTTTCGGTAGAGTTGATCGTTTCGCAGTTGAAAAAAGCTTCTCGGGAGGCCCCATAAGCGGTGCCACATAATTTGGGTTGCAAGGTGTCTTTGATTTCTCGAGGTGATATTTGATGCCAACGTCATTCTTCCAAGTTCCACCACATTTGTCGCATTTGAAAATCTTGGAACGGCTGCGAGCAGAAGATTTCGCTGACCCTTTCTTGGCCCGACGGCCTCCACGCTTCACAGGCACGTCGTCGGCTAGTGTATCGTCCACTGCTTCGGCATTGGGCATCTCCGCATCTTGGTTCGAGTGTTGAGAACCCACGACAATCGACTGCTCATCCGGTGGTAGAGTTGCAGGGACTTCGACCTCCTCGGCTGTTGTATCCGGAGGGGTTGCTTCGTTGTTCGAAGATTTCTGAAGCTTGTCGTCTTGCCCAACAGCGGCATGAATCATTGACTTGTCTGTCCCATCGACGGGAGCATCTTGCGAGATGTATGGGACCGCGCCGGCTTCGGGGTGTGGACTGCTGTTGGAGAGTATTCTGGACAGCGCTGACGGGTCCACTTTGAGTGTCACGATATTTGATGCTCTTGCCGATTCAGCTGGTCTTCGCCTCGTACCGCGTCTGGTAGCCGTTCCGGAGGGGGTTGCAGAGTCTAGCTCCGAGCTCGCACTCGCTATAAAGCTCGCGTCCTCTTCAGAAGAATCGTCGCCAGTCAGCTGTGGTAGCTGCATTCGCTTTGCCTGACGCAGTCCTGCCTCTTGAGCCCCATTGACTCGCATAATATCCAAAGCTTCGACCTTCCTCTTAGTGATGGCATTGAGTGCCTTGCCAGAGACTCGAGTCAGAGCAGCTAAGCCACCGGCAACATAGGACAAGTCAGGGGTGACTGTTGGATCTGCAAAGTGACCTGCCAGCGTCTTTGCATGAGCCCCATCAGCCAAAGATTGATTGTCGCCCATCTCCCCAGTGACGTTCTTCTCAGCAGCGGCGGTACCTAGGTCGGCGTTCAGTGCAAAATAGCGATATTGCTGAGATTTGCCTTTTCGGTGCATCTCGCTCGATACCTGAAATTGCCTGAGATGCGCAGGCTGCTGTGTCGGAAGAGAAATTGTCGAAGAAATGGAGGAGATATACCGCCGAAATGACGACCCCAGTGTCAAGTCTCCTAACTGCTTATTCGACAGACCTGCGGAGCCGGCAGCGGAAATGTTGTCGAATATTGTCGTAGTAAGGGGTTTGTCGGCTATCCAGTTAGAGCGTGGATTGATCCGTCTTCTGTTGAGAGTGCGACCAGGTCCAGGCTCTGGGCTTGAGGTGTCCATGTTGGCGGTTTTGCTTGCCGGGTCAGATACAAGATCTCCATCATTCAGGCTATAGCCGGACTGGATGCTTTTCTGCTTCCCTGTAGCAAGATAGGCGGCCCAGTCCTCGTGTGTAAGATCGTGATCGAACTTGAGGCAGTCCTTGAACAGTTTCCCAGATAACGTGGCGCCAACATACTGGATGGCACCAGTCTGGACGAAGAACCGACACGTCTTGGCGGCAACTTTCATCTGCCATCTCAGACCCAAAATGCCCAGCTTGCACCGTAGGTCATGATATCTGATGATCCCAAAGGCCTTCACGATTGCCATGATTGTTTGGGCCAAAGATATGTAGTCGACCGATTCCCCATTCCATCTGCCACGCCACGAGACAGGCTCTAGGTCGCACGCCAGAGCATTTCGGGACATATCGACAGTCGTGTGCAGACTTGCGGTTGCTTTCAGGGGATCGATTGGAAGGGCGGGGGCGAAGCGTGTTAACCACATTTTGCTGGTCTTGGTCCCTCTGACGAGTGTCGTTCGTTTCGAAATATAACCCTTCTCTGCTAAAGCATCTGTTCTTTTGGGCAACGAGCGTTTGTCTTGGCCAACAAGCCGGCCTAAATCGCCTTGCAAGATACCCTGCTGCTTAGTGGAGGCGATGCCAACCAAGGCCATCCACTCCAGTCTCGGGACTCTGCGGTAGTCGGGCGCATGTCCAGCAATTGATTCCCACATACGATCCTCGGAGACGTAGATACGAGGTCGCTTTCGAAGGCCGAGGGTCTTCGGCGTTGACTTGGCGAGGTCTTTGGGCTCAGAATCTTTTGAAACCTCTTCTGCAACACCTTCCGAGGTGCTGAGAGCTGCTACTCCATCCTGAGAGTCTGGATCCGGCAAGGCGAGGATGTCAACCAGGGGCACATGATTCCACTTCCGATTCGGTCCCACAGAGACGTCCTTCCTCCCTCTCAGCCAGTCCCAGGCCGTGGACCACAGCAGCTGGTTGGGTTCCTCGTCTGTTAGCTGAGAGGATTCTGCTGGTGAATCTCGTCTGGGTCGGGTGTCCTTGTAAAAAGTGCCGAGTGAATCGAGTACATGCAATACGGTGCATCCTATCAACCGCTTGTCAGTGAGATGCGCCAGCTAGAACGTTTTCAAGCCAAAGTTTTCGTGTTAACCGCATTACTGGCTGAAGGGCATCGTCAAATTCCAGCCTTCCCAGTAGAATTGCGCATACAGTATAATGGTGAATGTAGAGGGGTGGCCAAGAATTTGAGAGTCCTCTTTCTCGTTCTCATAGAGCCTAGATTCACTCACCTAAGTCACCATAACACGAGATGTCAGTGATGACTGACTCTATCAGTCGCTCGAGGTCGCGGGACATTGTGCCGGCTTTTCGGGATTTGACATTCTCAGTGGAGCGATAGTTGAAGAGAAAAAGTCATGCGAATATTGACGGCGAAGGTCGACGATGGAAAATCGAACCCAGGTGCCTTGAGTTGGCGTATGCGGTTGGTCGAAAATTCCTTGCAGGCTCTGGTTGGTTTTCCCCCGCTACGTTTGAATCGGCCACAGAGATCTGGAAGGTGGAGGGGAAGGAAACCGCTGGAGTCTGGCCGCGTCGGGGAACCCCGCCGTGCCCGCCATAGTGGAACATTGCAGCGTTCATGTGGCTGTGGTGGCTGCCCGAAGGACGAAATGGATCACTGTGACTTCCCTTGCACGTGATGATGGCATAACATCTGTGTTCGCACGGACGTGGTTTGGCGCAGCCAGTCGCCCGTCAGGGGTTCTTGGACAAGAGGTTCGTAGTGAGTAGACTAGATATCTCATCTTGTCACATCTCAAGTAGGTAAGGTAGACGGAAAATTATATCAGACTTGTTCTCGGCGAGCTTTGCAACCGAGTCTTCATTACTACTAGTACTGGGTATCTTGAGGTTTAGCAGCGGCAAGCTTAGCCATCTTTTCCTCCTGTTGTTTCCTGTAAGCCAAGAGAAATGCTTCTCTGGTCTGCTGGAGCTCTTCTCGTCTTCTCAGACTACCAGCGGCCTTTGGCACATTAGAGACGTCAACGGCCGCACCACGCACCAACAGCTTGTCTTTGCCGGCCTTGTGAAGCTCTGGCGGAGCCTGCGCAACATCGTGAAGCCCTACCTTGGCTTCCGCGCGCATCTTCTTGAGCACCGCCCAAGGATCTTCTTCGCGGTCTGCGCCCTTGTTCTTCTTGCCCTTTTTACCCTTCTTCTTGTCCTGCCCAGGTTCGTAGAAAGCCTTTGAAGTCTGTCCGAAGTTGCCAAAGGTACCGCCGTTGATCTCTTCATCTAGCTCACGTTCAGCGACCTCCTCGAGATCCTCTTCTCTCTTTTCTTGAATCTTCCGCTCTTCCTCACGCCACTGGTCGTATAGCTTGTGCATCTTCTTCTCCTTCCGCGTCCTGACGGTCTTGAGACCAAGAGGATCCTTTCCACCCCTCTCGGTCTTGTTGACAAGGTTCGCCAGAGGTAGGGCTGCGTTGACGCGGGCAGCGAAGTCGGACATCTTCTCACCCGGCCGGATCGTAGGCACCTCTGGTTTCGCTGTGTCCTCAATCTTGGTCTCGTTCTGCGCGGCTGCCGCAGCTTTTTTGGCTGCCTTCTTTTTTTGCGCTACCGTCTCGCCATTGTCTAGGCCAGATCGTTGTCTCCTGCCCGACGCCAACGACATGATGCGCTTGAACGCTCTCGGAGCATCGTCATCTTTGCTGCCACCTTTTCTCTTCTTGGAAACGCCATCGTTCTCGGTCTTTGGGTTCTTGCCGTTCTTTCCATTCTTGGCGTTTTTCGCATTGTTCGCTTGAGCTTTTCGACTTCGCAGTTGAACGGGAAGCGGCCTTGCAATCTGTGATGGTGGGAGATCAAATCTGTGTGAACCCGGTTAGTGTAGGCTACGGCGGCATCCTAGGCGATCAGAACTTACGCCGAGGGATCTTGTTCCCTCCTGGTATGTTTGTGAGGCATTGCGAAAGATTTCACTGGGTGTGTTGTTGAGCGATTCAGTACAGAAACACGCACCCCTCTGCTCCAAAGTTTCGTGGTTGCAGGTGAGGCGCCATGATACACGGGCTCGAGGGACCGATGGAAATTTTTGCATTATGTCAGCGACGATAAGAAGCGGGTCATCCGATAAGAAGTGAGGCACCTTTTTCCCTTTTCTTTTCCATTGTCCCGCTCCTTGAAACCAACTCCCTGTCATGCCAGTACCTAGGTACGTGCCGCAATGCAGCTGCAGGGGACTCCCCACCGGAAGACCCCTAGGGCCGATCCACCTTGGACAGATCACACGCGGGAATCCCACAATCTGGCATCTTGGCACCTGATCAATGACAGTTCTGCAGCACATGGGCTGGCCTCACCCGGTTATAGGCACAAAAACTCTGCTCGAGGTTGATGCGCCCGCCCTGCATGCTTCGCTGATCATCTGTAGATTTTTTTTGCCAAGAAAGTCGTTGCCAAGTACGGCTCGGTAGACTCAGACAGTTGACGGTGTGGTCGATCACCTTACCCACGGAGAAAAACGATACGCGGAGCTCACCGAACACCGAACACACCATGTAAGCAACGCGGAAGGATGGTGGGACCTAGAGCCGGCATCTAAGCCGAAGCACGTTGAAATTAAAAGCTTGTTTTCTCAAGCAAAACGGCTGTGCTTGCCATTTACTAGGTACGGTTCCTTATGGGAAGTACACTAGAACATCCCTTTTGATGAACACTAGGCTTGTCGAAGCACATACGGGCATACATGGGCAGTGTTACTCATTGCCGCCTCGATGAGTGCCTCAGTGTTGACCGCCTCATGTTAACGGAGGAGCGCAGCGGCCACGGAGGCACCGCCATGACCAGACAACGGGTGGCGGAGAGAGACGAAGACGTGCTATGCCAGAGACCAGATCAACATGAGGCGGTAATTGCAAGGTGTAAGGCACAACTGTTACGTTCCAAGTTGGCGAAAGAAACTCAAGGAAAAACGGGGGAGGTATTTGCACCCGAGTCCGTCCAACCGAACAGACCCGACGGACTCTAAATTCCAGGTTCTAGATTCCAGATTCTAGGATTCAAACTTCAGACTTAAGACTCGGAGAAGTGCGTGTTTCGCGTGTCGGGGTTGTCGAGGGGCGGCTGGAGTGAGGAGAACAAAGTCAATTACTGGCCGTCTGATTATGTGACACTTCAACTCGTTTTCGGACGTGTCTCAGTATCGACGGCTGATGAATTGCGTACGTAGACGATTGCCCTGAGCTTTCTACCATTTCATTGCTTTTTTTTCCACGGCTTGATGTCGGCACCGGCCTGGGTGTTCATCAGTCAGTCAGACCATGATCAGGTCAAGTCAGAAACACTCCCCGCAGACATGACTGATGGACGGTTGGTTGGTGTTTCTGGTTTTGGGTGGGAAACGGAGGCTCGGACGTACCGCCGTCCGCGCGACCGATGGAAAAGTCCACAGCGATCAGTCTCGCTCTGGGGCAATGGGTCCATGGCCACCACAAGTGTGGCTGAAGTACTGACAGATAGGTAGCAGCTGGACTTGTCCAAATGTCTTGCCTTCGGCTCAAGGTGTGGTGGCCGACCGTGGTTTCTTCACAAGCAAGCAAAAAACTACCCCGGCTTGCCACGCTACCTTGGTGCTTGCCTTAGAGTAAAGTCCACATGTAGGCTGGCAGGTTGGCGGGATGTCATCAACCAAGTTAGCCCACGAGGAAACGAGGGCATTTGTAATAGGCTGTTCTGGTCTGGCCCTGAGGTTTGGTGAAGGGCTTAGATCATGGATACCTAGCGCAGGATCTTGTCCGGTCTAGGACCAGCGCGGACTCCTCAGACCGTAAGTAGGAACCTCTCGGGAGCGGCACTGGGGCTCTGTGTTAAGGTATGATAGATGCGCGCGACATAGATAGTACACCGCGAAGGCAAAGATGTGAGAGGGATTTAGTGTAACTAGCTGGTTTCTCATGGATGTTGAGTGGGAAGTTAATCCGCCTATCAACTGCGCCACGTGCCTGAAAGAGTATGGCTTGCTGCTCACCAGTCGAGTGCGCGTGAAGAGGAGCAGAAGCGGCACGCCAGACACGAGAGAGAGAGAGAGAGAGAGAGAGAGAGAGAGAGAGAGGATGAGGAGGAGGAGAAGAAGGAGGGATACCCAATGGCACGACTGGAAGAGAGGGGTTTGCGAGGTAGGTAGAGTGAGGCCCAGAACATGGAGCACGCCGTCTCTAAGCCGATACTGGCTTAGCACAGACCATCTCAGCGTTGAGGACGTGAAAGTCCAGTCCCGTCTCGCAAGGTGCCACGGTGCCTGGGTTCAAACTTCAATGTATCCATCTGCGGGGAGATGCCACGGCGGGGAACATGACTTCTCCACGGAGGTAAGTATTTACGCTAATTGTCTCGGTCTACAGATACAAGATAGTTCGTACACACACCCGGAAGAATAAAGTACCCCTTGGCTGAGGCGCTCCACCCAGGTACCTTAGGTGCAGCAGTAGCCACAGCAGCTTGCACGACGGTCATTGACCACTGAGAAGTTCGTATCGGAGGCAGAAGGCGCAGCTACTGGCTTGGATTGAAGGTCCATGGCCGGATCCCCTTCGCTCTCTCTTTCTCTCCAAATCCTTTTTCTGTAATACGGGGGGCACTCCGCTCAGCTGGAGGACCGCTGCTGTCCCCTCTGCCAAGCCTCCAACCAATTTCCACGTATCTCTTCTCTGCGCCTTCCATCCTCATTACTCTCTGAACTTCCGCACTGACTTTGCCTTGGCACCTCATGTTTCCCTTGTGCCTCGTCTGCAGAGGCAAGAAGTGTCGAGGGAAGCGGCTGGGATGAGGGGTCTCAGGGTCTGGACAAAGTATCTGTACCCACGACCTGATCCAGGAGGGGGCCGGAAGCAACTACAAGGTACCTGGACCTCGAGAACGCCAAAGGGCAAGGATTTCCCCGTCGGCCAGACCCTCGTCGACTCTCTTTCGCCATTCGACTGAGGCATTCCGACACGACAGGTTTGGTTTGAGAGAGGCATGCCGAATAACCTTAGTTGTTGGCCTCTTGTTTTGCGACTAACGATAATGGGAACATGGTGCGCATTTCCACTGGTCACAGAGTCATCGCCCATGCACTATCTCGACACGCTACTTCCATAGTCGACACTCGACACTAGACCCCGGAACTGAGAATAGTCTCTCACTCTCACTCTCACTCCCACTCCCACTCCCACTCATATACTCTCTCTATCTCTTGGCCTCACTTTCTTGCCCTGCGTTTTTTCCATGTCGTCGTCGTCACTCATCTTGGCCATAATGAATGACTATCCTTGCTCTGTGGCCTCTGACCGTGCATATAACCACCGACCTGACACGATACATATCTCTGCTGCCTGGCCAAGGCGATCCACACATTCAGACACCATTGTCCCTGAAGCCCATGATCACACATCTATTCTTCGTTACACTGATTGACCCTGGGCCTGAACCAACACACCCCCCTTTCGCCAGGGTAACAAACACAAACAAAACAGGCGCCAGAAACACTCCCTCGGGTCCCGCGCCCCCCACCGTCTTGGTGCTAGCTAAGCTCATGATAGACTTTCTTAGTCTTAGTCCCTTTTACGGACGTGGGACAGGATAGGACATGGATGGCTTAGAAATGCTTGAATACGCCGCCCACTGACTAGCATTAGTCCCCTTTGTCCCCAGCCAAGTTGAAGTACCTACCCTGCCTACCTTATACTATGTAAAGTAACGTTTGGCGTGGAAGCCATGTACCGCTAATGCTGCGTTGTTGCTGCTGCTGCCATCGATGCTGCTGCCCATGAACCACCCAGTCATTCACCCACACTCTCGTGCTCACACACAACTGGAGACATCACATCTTCTGGAACCATATGCCAGACACTAGACCCGTGTCCCATTCACGGCACGGCGTATTGTCCGTTTCCTCTCGGTCACTCACCCACTCCTTCATTCAGCTCACTGACTCTCATTCTCCTTCTTCCCCTCGCCCCCGTTCCTCCGACTGTCTCTCCATCTCGCTCTCAGACCCTCTCAGCTCTTCCCAAAGTCTGTTCTCAACCGCCGTCCTTACCCCAGCATCCATCCATAACCATGTTCGGATCTACTTGCCGTTTTAACCTTTATATCCCTACCCCATTCCGCCCTGTCCTTGCCTCGCCCTGAGGTACCCGGCCTTACCTTACCTGACCTTGCGGTGATCTTTAGCTCCAGTGTCCCCTCTTAAAGCAGGCAGCAAGCCAAGTCAACAGCTGCTTCGTTAGATCCCGCTATATTTGGCGTCTCTCTCCCGCAGTTCTGCGCTCTTCGCTTCGTCCGCAAACGTCCAGACTTGTTTGGTCTCGCCTTTGTTGCTATCCTCTTTGTTGCTATCCCCTTTGTGCACCTTACACTATTGGCGGTACCTCACACTCCATATTCATCTGGCTTCCTGAGTCGAATTGTCGTACACCTTACCTGACGGACTTGAAATACGTCTTGCTATACAGTAGCACTGCCGCAACCCGGACTTACAGTCAACAACCCCTCGAAATCCGCCACGATATGTTCTAGAGATAAGGAGCAACAATCCGATACCCTCTTCCTCTCTTCTTCTTCTCTCTGGGCAGGTGTCTCGGTCTCCATCCTAGGTAGTCAACTTTTGTCCGATCATATCACCTGGAGCATACGACGTATTTCAAAATGTCTAGCACCAAGAGCGCCAGCATCGACGCAGTTCGCGATCGCTTCCGTCAATTCTGGTCGCGAAACAGCAACACCATACCCCGTTACAGAGACTCTCCTGAAGCATACGCCGCGAGTGACAACGAGATCGAAGTCCCGTCAACACCAGCCGAGAGTTTCACTTCTGAGGATGGATTACTTCCTCCTGCGTACATGATTCCAAAGCCATGGACACGGAAACGCTCCTTCATCATGTGTGGCGCCGTTTGGTTGGCCATGCTGTAAGTGTTGGTTCAAGTTCAACTACCCCCCCCGGCTAATTTTGGACCTCAGCTTGATATTTGTCCTCCTGAACCTGGTACTATTCGTAGCCCGCGAGGTCTGGGACACGGCATCAGAGCAGGTCGAAAGTGCGAGCATCGTTGAACCAATTCCATGCCACTCTCATAACGATTATTGGAGAAAGAGACCCATCTACGACGCTCTCCAAGCCGGATGCATTGGCATTGAGGCAGATGTGTGGCTCCTCGACACCGAATTGTTTGTTGGCCACAACAAGTGGTCTCTGCGCCAAAAGAACACCTTCACAAGCCTTTACGTAGACCCTCTCGTCCGTCTGCTTGAGGAACGGAATGCGGATCTCGGAAATATCACAGAGGAATCGCCGCGAGGCATCTATGAGTCAAGCCCAGACCAAACCATGGTCCTCCTCGTTGACTTGAAGACGAGCGGCCCGGAGACCTGGCCGGAGGTGGTGCGTCAGCTGGAGCCCTTGCGCGAGCGAGGCTGGCTGAGCAAAGTCATCGATGGCAAGGTTCACTACGGGCCTATCACCGTCGTCGGAACGGGCAACACTCCTTTCGACATGGTCGTCGAAAATTCAACCTACAGAGACACATTCTTTGACGCACCCCTTCTCAAACTAAACCAGCATAATTTCGATCTGACCAACTCTTTTTACACGAGCGTGTCGTTCAAGAAGGCGCTCGGCACTGTTTGGTTTGGCGACTTGTCAAAGGGCCAGATGACGAAATTGAGAGCACAAATCAAGGAGGCCCATTCTCGCGGCTTGATGGTACGGTACTGGGATCTCCCAGCATGGCCAATCAGCATCAGAAATCACGTATGGGACGTGCTCGTTCAAGAGGGCGTTGATATCCTGAACGTGGACGATCTCAAAGGCGCCAGAAGAGAATGGGATCTCAAGGGGTGGAAACGGCTAACCGGCAACTCCACGATACCAGCCTAACCGGATAGGTCTTGTTCACAATACTGTACACAGAGACATGACCATCACCTACCATCTGGCCCCGGCCAATTATGACAACGTATAGTAGCATGAGCTCCTCCAGCGGCACCCTTCTCTGGAGTCGAAGCCACGCTAGCCAGTCGAAACCAATTGGAATGTTGGCGGGAGCATTCTCCCTGCTGCAACGGAATGCTGCTCCTCGGGGCTGCGGCACTCGACGTTGGGGGCATATGATTTGGGTGTCGCATTTAATTTCGATTGCTTCTTGAACGTCAGCTCCTGAACCATCGGCCACCGTACAATGCTACCAGAAATCGACATGAGCAATCGTTTACATTAACATCCTCCTCGGACAGGATGACTTCTTCGTACACAGTAACCAATTGCGACTACTTCGGGTAGCCTTATCCTCACGAGATGGCACACTTTGAAGCGTTGGACACTTTGAATGTGTCCACAAGTAGGAGATATCCATGTTGCAAAGTTGTTGTAACAAGAGAAAAGAGCGCGCGAGACATGGACGCAGTAGTAACCCAACAACAAATACAATGGGATGCCCTGAATCGCGTTTAATCAACGCAAAGCTTGTATAGGGAACGGGCGACGACAGCCGAGCTCACCGACCCCGATCCGTGCCAAGACTCGGATGCGATGGCTTCGCAAGTCGCCGACCGGCTACCGCCGTGTAGGCCGGCCGGCATTGCGCAATTAGTTAAATTAAAGCTACTAGAATACAAAGGCTATTAGTCATCACCTCCGGTCGGGATTTGCAGGCGATTTATGGTGCATCGGTTTTTGCCTTTGAAGCCGAAATACCGTATTTTCTCCGGCGGGGAGGCCTCGGCAACAGCGAACCGGGAACGACGCAACTTAGACTGATGTTTCTCTTAGCTCACGACCCCGCAATGTCCATGGACGATCTAAATGCATGACGTCCGGATGAAATAGCCGCCCGCAATACCACATCTTGAAGATTTAAGGCAGGCGTTCGTCGACATTTCTTCCTTCGACTCAGACGTGTAAATGTGCACATACAAGGACTCAAAGTAGATATCATACCCAATCTCATCCCATCTCATCGGGTCTCGATTAGACGAACTTTCTTCCGAACTCTATCCTTGGCATTGGTTTCATCACATTTAATCCCACAACCAATACTTCAGTCTATCCTTCAAAATGTCCGGACAGCTCGCAAGCCTCGATGTGAGTAGCGGAATCAAATACCAGGGACATTGACTCCCAACGGTGACGAAAGACTCTCGATCACTAACCACGAGCCAATTAGCCCTCCATGGCGGATCGTCTCCCCCCTCACTCCCAGGTCCTCTTCGATGCCAAGGCGTCAGCCGGGCTCACATTTGAGGAGATTGCCAAGCATCTAGGCCGCAGCGAAGTTGCCATTGCGGGCATTTTCTACGGTCAGGTCCAGGCCTCGGAAGAGGATGTCCAGAAGCTGTCTGAGCTCCTCGGAATCCAGACTGCGAACCTGAAGCAGCTGAACAACTACCCCGACCGCGGCCGCGCCGGGCCCATGCCGCCTGTCGAGCCGCTCATCTACCGCCTGTACGAGATTGTGCAAAACTACGGATACGCTTACAAGGCTGTCATGAACGAGAAGTTCGGCGACGGCATTATGAGTGCGATTTGCTTCAACACCAAGGTCGAGAAGGAGATTGATGAGGCGGGAAGCCCGTGGGTTGTCATCACCCTCAAGGGCAAATGGTACGTGCAATTTGTTGTTCCTTTTACTAGGTGCTCCTTGACTTTGAATGGGAAGACTAACTTGGTTTGATAGGCTCCCCTTCACCCGATTCTAAGACAGCCGCGCAGATCTTGGATACAGTAAAGAGAAGCGTCGAATGAGCAACGTGAAAAGGATTTCCTATCATCACGCATGTCGTCAGATGGTGGATTGGAAGCGAGGAGTTTTGGCTTAGTGGCAATGTACATAAAAAAGATGGCAGTCATTCGATTCCCCAAGGTAGTAAATTTACAGACACGCGACTGTATTACTTCGTGCTTCTTCCGTGATGACATACCTGCTTCCGCAGGAATGGTCTCTCCTGTCACTGGTATCGTAGTTGATGAGAGGTCAAGACTCGTACTGGACAGCTTATACCACTGTTATTTCACATTACGGGTTCATATCCAGGTGGAGAATCGCATGCCTTTTCCCGGAATTATCCTTCGTCCCGGCCACTCAAGTCACCGGGACACAGCAACAGCCACCAAAAGAGTAAACTAAACAGAAGAAAAACTCACTTTCCGGAGGGTGGCAGGTCACATGTTTAGTGTCACGCTCCAGAAAGCTGTCCAGTTCTGAAGACCAACCGTTGGTCGGTATCAAGGAGACTTGTTCAGTTTCAGCTGTACAGGGAATGAAAGCCAGGTGTTTCTTGCTCAAAGGACTTGTGTTGGCACAACCTCGAGGCGCGTATTTCTAATGATATCTTTTGTGTATATCTCATGTGACCCCTAGTCCCTGACATCGTTCCCCCGCGCCATGCCTGTCCGGAAGAGGGATTACACAGCCCATCTTGGTTGCGGTCGACTGCAGGCTTGGCAAGTCTCCTGAACTCCAGTCAGCATATCTGCCCAAAGACAGTGAGATGTTCTGGATCTTTATCCCCTCGTCCTGTATTGCATACGTTGGCACCGTCTCGCGTATATCAAAGGTCCTGCAAGACTCGAAGACTACATTCTGGTAGTCCAGAAAAGGACGTGACATCTTTCAGTTTGCCACTATGTTGAACTCGGTGAAGGCTATGTTCTAGTATTCACGCCGTGTTATCGCCAACAACATTGAACTGAATGTCCATGGGTGTTTTCGGCCACTCGGTCAAAGAGCTCGTGTTCTTGAAACAATCCTTGGGCTCTCATGCTTGAGTCAAAGCTCGTTGGTCACGTCTCGAACAACTTCTTTATTTGTTACTATGTGGCTAGTAACTGTAGGAACAGTGCACTTGCAATTCACTGTCCAGCACAGTCATGATGGAGCTGGATAGCACTAGTACTCCAGACGAGAACAGTTGCTGGTATTAAAAAGCAAATGGAATGCCCTCGAGAATACGACGTGTTGAGTTCATCTCTACATTACATACACAAGCCCGCATTGATCACACCCCATACTCTACCGATAAAAAGACGAGGTCATCTCATTCTATACCTTTCATACCGAGCCAAGATGCATCCTCAACCAATTCCAAAAGCCCGAGCAGCTGAAGCGGAGTCCTGGACTGACGGTTGCAAAATCATCGTTAAACCCAAATTTGGTACCAACGGCAGCGACCAAATTCCCTCGACTCCTCAATGAAGACAGGGGCTGTGGAGCCGAGCCAGTCTGGCAACGATGAGGTGACTTTCAATATGTGCGTCATATTATTAGACAGGAAACAACAAGTGTCCCTCGTCATGAATAGCTCGAGCTTCACTCCACTATCTTCAAGATACCGCAATCTAGTCTTCGTCCTTGACTTCCGACACACGAGTTAAGCATGAAGATTTCACGCCCGAATGCCAGTCAAAACGACCATCAGCCTGCCAACCCAACAACTTGGATATGCTTGGAAGCATGGTTCTTTTTCTCAAGCTCCTTGGTCAACAAGCTGTCCAGCATTGCTTTCCACCGCAAGGCGTGAACTATGTAGAAGATGGCAGTTACGAATTTTATAGGAGGCAAATACAGACCATTCGATTCTTTAACACTTTCCATCTTTCCGGGCATCTCTTAGGAAGTGTCCCGTTCACTTCAACTATCAATGTTCTCTAGTCGAAGCCACCATGCGGTCTCAAGGCATACATTAAATATGTGGTCTAGGTTGCAGACATAGATAACAAGACTCGCTGTACTCGGAACCCATGGGCACAACTCACTGAGACTCACTGAGAATAAAAATGCAGTCTGCCACCAAGACTGGCCTCACTGGAGTAGAAGAACGTGATGCAAAAATCAAAAACATACAACACCAGGTATTCGCTGGTCGTCACCGACCCAACTACTAATCCGGCCCTCATTGGCTTATCTATGGGAGAGCGGACGGGATCCCGAGTTTTCCAATGGGTATGGTCGTATGTGCTCATCTGACAATGCAGAGTTGTCTACATACCCAAAAACTGTGGACAACATCCACTCTTCGGAACGTCCGAGCGCCTCGACACTGGAGAGCGCTGCTTCATTCTCTTTTCGAGTGGTTGCTACATGCTGTTGATTATTGGTACCGAGGGGGTTGAACTGGTGGCAGACTGGGAAGTTCCTCTCCATCTAGGTCTTGTCTCGTTGTGAACCTTTGTAGTGGGATCGAGGCGATGTTGAAGACTCCGAGAATGCACTTCACCGATGGAAAGAGGTTGACCAATGGCTGCTTACCAAGCCGGGGGCCATACGCGCTATGGAGAACGACCCCACCATCACGCTTGACCGCCCCAGCTGAGTGGATCACCTAAGCGGCAGAATTATTTTCAGTCGACATTTTTTCTGAGGACCCTCCCCACGTTAACGCAACCCGCCCGACAAGAGTGTTGAACCAGCATACTTTTGCGACCACCCCAATATCAGTGCACTTCAGACATTGACCGCAGACATGGTTACCAAATCCAAACTCAAGCTTGCGCTCGCGGCCGAGAAGGGCATCGACCTCCGCAAGGTCAAGGAAGAGCGCAAAATCAAGGCGAAGCACCGCGAAACCGCTAAGGAGCAGGAGAAGAAGGAGAAGAAGAACAAGGGCGTCGAAGAGGATGACGAGGACGAGGAAATGGAAGACGAGGAGGAAGAGGATGATGCCTCTGTCATCTCTATCGAGGGTGGCATCACTTTGAACGCAGACTTTGAGGATGCCGATTCAGACTCCGAGGAAGATGAGGAAGACGAGGAAGACAAGGTACGTGCTGCTTGCACCTCGCACAAACCCTGCTCTCCCTAAATGCTCGCTGACACTCAGTCTACAGCTCGACATCGAAGCATTGGACGACACAGACAGTGACAGCGACTCCGATATCGAGATGGAAGCAAAGATCGAGCGCCCATCCAAGAAGGCCAAGACACCAACAGAAATCGTAGAGAAGGACGGCGAATCAGATGACGAGGAGGACTCAGAGGTTGATCCCGAAGAGGACGACGTTCCCATGTCGGATCTTGAAGGCGACGACGAAGACCTCGAGGACATTATCCCCCACACCAAGCTCACCATCAACAACAAGACCGCCCTCCTGGCCTGCCTGAAACGCATCCAGATCGACACCTCCTCCACAGCCTCCTTCACATCGCACATGACCGTCGTCTCCTCCAAACCCACCAACGAGGCCGTCCCCGACGCCCAAGATGATCTTCAGCGCGAGCTCGCTCTGCTCTCGCAGTCTCTCGAGGCCGCGCGCAAGGGTCGCTCGCTCCTGATCAAGGAGGGCACCCCGTTTTCCCGCCCCAAGGACTACTTTGCGGAGATGGTCAAGGACGACGGTCAGATGGAGAAGGTCAAGGCCAAGCTCATCGACGAGGCCAGCTCCAAGAAGGCCGCCGCCGAGGCGAGAAAGCTCAGAGACCTCAAGAAGTTTGGCAAGCAGGTGCAAGTCGCCAAGTTGCAGGAGCGCCAAAAGGCCAAGAAGGACACGCTCGACAAGATCAAGACACTCAAGAGGAGTAAGTTACATCCTAATGCTAGCTGCCAGTTCGAATCGATCACTAACTGTTCCTTATCTAGAACGCCAAGAAAACTCTTCCAACCTCGACACGCGCGAGGCGGACCTCTTCGACGTCGGCGTCGACAACGAGATCAAGAGCCACACCAACTCGGACGGCAAGCGCGGCGGTCGCGACGGCGGCCGATCCGGCAGCGGTGTCAACGCCAAGCGATCCAAGAAGAACGAAAAGTACGGCTTCGGCGGAAAGAAGCGCCACGCAAAGTCGGGCGACGCCGTGAGCTCCGGCGACCTCAGCGGGTTCAACGCCAAGCGCATGAAGGGTGGCGTCGGCAAGAAGCCCCAGCAGCGGCCGGGCAAGAGCAGGAGAAAGGCCATGAATAAGTAAACGGGGAAAAAAAGAAATCACTGTCTTCTGTAGCGTAAAAATGGGGGGACTGGAAGGAGGAGAGTCTGTAAACCAAAAGCTAGAACGGAGGAGCGAAATACCCCTCGGGTTCCATGGTAATCCACAAACGAAATGATTCAACTAGCTGCCTCCTGGTCATCGTCGATATCTCATGGGAACATCAAATGCCGGTTTCTTTCTTCTTGTTATACAATGTTCATTGAAAGCCTGACAATGCTTTAACTCTGGTCCACGCTGGTCTACGTCTGCGCCTCCGCATCCCTAAAGGAGGCAAGTGATGTGTAAAGAAAATCCAAAAATCACAACTGCATACCCAAGTATCAGACCATTGTAGGATTTACTAATCTCTGTTCAACATCACTATTCTGAGATAAGCACATTGGTCTACATGTATACACTGTCTGAGGTAGATCAAGAAAGTTCAAATTAGCTTCGTCCCAATTCCGTGTGGACGGTACGCGATAAACTTTCTCGCGCATGTATGCTGAAGGTTCAGCCCTGACGGCTTTGAATCAACTTCTCGTCGCAAGATGCGTGGCATTTTACGTCATCACCACCTCCCATTCGCAAACTAAGTGGACAACGACGATGTGGACAATGGGTTTGGAAGACCGCATAAATTCTGACATTATAGTGGTTGATCTCTCATAACAATACGTACATCATCCTCGCTTGCTACTCGGAATATGTACTCCTGGAGCATTGCGCAAAGCTTTCCCGTCTGCCCGTGCTATCCTAGTTCAGAGGGGTTGGCATAATAACCCTGTAGGATACTATGCTGCCGTCCATGACAGACGGCTTATCCATTCTCTCAATCCAAGTGAGCCGCTACTGTAACCATCATCTTCATCCCCGCGGGCTTCAACAGCCCATCAGCCCAAGACCAAGAAAATGTAAATCCGTGACAAAAAGACCTTCTCCACGCCGTAGTGATACTTCCGCGGGACACAATTTTAGTAGGTTTGA